CCCTCACCCTTCACACCTCTCCCCACCCACACACTCCCCACCTCACCCACACACCTCCTTCCCCACCCCCACCCACACCTCCCCCCACCTCTCCCCCCCCACACCTCCCCTCACCTTCACCTCACCCACACTCTTCCACCTCACCCACACACCTCCCTCACCTCACCCACACCTCCCCACCTTCACCTCCCACCTCCACACCTCCCTCGTCTCACCCTTCACCCACACACCTCCCCCACCTCACCCACACACCCCCTCACCTTCACCCACCCACACCCTCCCCCCACCTCTCACCCTCCCCACCCACACACCTCCCCACCCCACCCACACACCTCCCTCACCTCACCGCCCCCCCACACACACCCCTCCTCACCCACACACTCTCACCTCTCACCTCACACCTCTCCCTCACCTCACCACACCTCCCCCACCCCTCACCCACGCACCTCCCCCACCTCACCCTCCCCACCCACACACACCCCCGTCTCACCCCACCCACACACCCCCCCTCACCCCCACCCACACCTCCCACCTCACCTCACACACTCTCCCTCCTCACCTCACTCGCCCTCCCCACACACTCTCCCTCACCTCCTCACCTCACCTCACTCACCCACACACTCTCCTCTCACCTTCACCTCCTCACCCACACACACACTCTCCCTCACCTCCTCACCCACACACTCTCCTTCACCTTCACCTCCTCACCCACACACACCCCCTCGTCTTCACCTCTTCACCTACACACTCTCCCTCACCTCCTCGCCCACACACTCTCCCTCACCTCCTCACCTACACACTCTCCCTCACCTTCACCTCCTCACCTACACACTCTCCCTCACCTTCACCTCCTCACCTCCACACTCTCCCTCGTCTTCACCTCCTGTTCAACATTCCTCGTCTTATCCTAATTGCAATTTGTATCTTCGTCCATTAATCATTATATTATCTCTTTTTTTTTCTCTTTTTTCTCTTTTTTTCAATGTCTCTCTCGGAGGATTTGTTCAAGTATTAGTGACGTTTGTTTAATGAGAAAGAGAGAGACTCCAGCTAATCTTTATGAGGAAGACAGAGCTGGTGCATTAGAATGAGCGAGGGAAAGAGCTCTTCATTATTCCTTTGTGTTAGTTATACCTGAATTGCGTTTTCTGTTCTGTTTTGTTTTTGAAATTTTATTTTTCTTTCTTTTCTTTTATCTTCTTCACCACTGATCGGCTCATTAGCCTCTTGGGCGGTCGGTCACGTCTCTGTTACGCACTGTTGGCAAGTACTAGGCATGCACCGGCTCCTGAATACATGGGAACCTGGTCCAGTTTTGGTCAAGTCTGGCTTTGAATGTACTCACACTGGGTACTGTATTGTGCCATAACTTAGCAATTTGAATTACGCTAAAAATTGATATAATAATGATGGCACATATGGCACAACAACAAAAAACAAATTGGCAACTCGGCACAACTTATTTACTTATTTTCTTGCTCATATCTATCTTTTATATTAATCTTTTCTGGTGTATATATTTAATAATGTCATATGCTGTGTCTTTATTTCTACAGTCTAAGTATATATCTTACATATCTCTGCTTATATTTTCCAAAACAATATTCTTTTTTTTACTTCATTTTTTTTTCATATATAGTATTGTATTTTCTGAATTTCTATGTCCTTACCTTTCTGAAGTATACCCTGTTTTAATTATATTCTAAACCATGGATTAATCTGGGGAAACCATGTCATTCTTATTACAACACTTATTATACTTACAACGGTAGCCTGCCACCACCGAGACTTTTATTAGAATATAACATATCTCATTGAACTGTTAGGTAGCCTGCTGGCGAGATTCTAGGCACGAGAGTTACAATAGTTATTTTCTAAGAGCCAATGTGTCGGAGGAATAGCGCGGTGATACTCGTAGTTTACTAATTTAATATTTATTAACATATGGAGTGAACGAGATGTTAATTAATTACACTCAGACCAGACTGGACCACTTAAGTCTTACTTTACAAGTAACAAATTAAATCTTTAATTCTTACTACATCATTAAACAACTGTTGTATTATTTCATTGTCCATACAGATGGTGATATGACACACTTGACAATATCCTAAATTAACTTATAACATTATGTTCTTAAGTTTCAATTTCAATGGTTTATTCCTTGATAGAGGAAGCGGGATCCTAGTGCTGTCACTAGGTACCCCAGTACAATAACACCAGAAGCATCTGGCAAGTGTCACAAGTATATACAGTTTAAATAAATATTATAAAGGGGCTTACTAAAGCCTAAGGAAGGAAGGATATTCCTTTAACACATAATCAATGTTATTTACATAATATCTGGCCAGTATGGGGAGGATTAACGTGTCTCTGTCAGGGGGTCGTGGAGTGGTGGTCCAGCAGGCGTCACGGAAGCGGTGTGTATGGGGACATCTTAGGAGGTAGTGGATAAGGGTGAGGCTGTCAGGTCTTCTGCATAATGCACAAGAGCGTTGCTCAGGGGATGCGGGGATACCAATTTCATCATGTTCTTTCGGAATGAACAACATGGTACTTTTCCTTCAGTTCATGTACTCAACTCACATAACATATTTACTGGTACTATCAATATTTATGGGTTCACTACTCAACATGGGATAACTAAATTTCGGCTAATTATCCCCAATCATATACTACAATAATACTAGATAGAACTCGGCTGGTAGGCCATATGAAGGATGCACTCCCAACAGCCCTGATAACACGGTATTACTGGTAATACCAACACTGCTCGGTACATATAACGAAGATCAATGAACCAGACAGAGCCCATTGGATGCGGGTAGTTGACTACACATAGCCGAGCCCAGACTCGCTCGCAAGGAGCGCTCATGGTAGACTCTCTCCGCTCGGCATTCTCTGGGTAATCTTGTCCTCGGATTCTTATCTCGCCATATTAAAGACATCCCTCAAGGACCATCTTGCCCATAGGCGGCTACCGCACCTCGGTAGTGGTGAAAAGACAAACAGTGCCTGGAGTTGCATTGAGGAAGAGTCACGAACGTTTAAATGTCTAACTTCACTATACAAAACATACGTCTGGCAATGATACAGACGACACTTACTTTACCCGAATTATTTGGCACATGATCATTTCACTATATTAAAACATGAACATTGATATTCACAAAATCGACTAAGTTAAACTGACTTAACATGGCGGGGGGAAACAATCATTCACATACCTGGAGATGCGTTGAGGAAGAGTCACGAATGTGTGACTTTTCCTTGTGCATCCGTATTTACGTGAGCCTGGGGCAGTTCCAGCCCATGCATACATAACAGAAAGGCTAATTAATCTCAATTCAATTTGGTCGCTGTACACTCAGCTATGAACGTCAGTGTCATAGGTCAGGCTAATTTCCTTCGTCTATTTTTATAATCTAATCAGAGAATAGGTTTGTCAGGAAAAAATGATATGAACGTCAAACACGCACTAACAACTACAAGCATTTGATTCTCTGATGTTTGGGCATCACAATAATCTAACTTCAGTATCACTTGGGAACTCATGGCTATCCCCAAGGACGATATAAAGATATGCCACTCATACTGACAAACTCAACACTCACTTACTTGACAAGTTTTAATAACAATAAGGACAGTTTAAGCTTTCAACATCACTCACAATGGATCTTGAATGTTCCAACTGTAATCATACATATTTAAGTTGCCTCAACATATGCAACCACAGTTGCAATTTCAAATTCTGTCATTATACTAAGGAATAACGAAGTCTCGGGTGCAGCCTAAGATTGAGAGAAAACGGAGGAGTCAGGCGTCCTGAAGCGATGAGAAAACGAACTTTTTTGATGGGGGACTCAAGTAAAGAAACCTTAGCTACATGTTTTGTGGGCTATTGAGCGTAATATGAATCGTCTGATTTTACGTTAACTGACGTGTCCAACCGTGGTCATCACACTATTACTGTGTACACTGTATCTCCCTATGAATGGTGTATTGTAGGTTTCAGTCCTTGAGAGAGCACACAAACAAAATAAAAATAAAAGTCTCTATGGCACCAATAATACAACTTGGTTTCTGCTGACAGTGGTGCCTTACCAGCCTGCTTACCAATTTATATTCGCTTTAAGTTATTTACAACGTCTCTTCCGCGGTCACTGGTGACACTATGAACTGATTTAACTAAAGGGACAGTACTACACTCCCTGGTTGGCCTTTGGGTGGTCAACCCCAGCCGTGACCACAACTCGTAAGACAATATAAAATAAAAGTTTTGTCATATGGCAATGATTTTGTGGTTAGTTGTAGGCCTCTTGACCTGGGCTGTGCCTTCAAATCGGTGGAGATGAGTTTTCAAATATACAATCGCGTCTGGCATTAAAGATCCTACATCGATTTACACTCACATCACTAAGACGATATGTCTATCTATCTATCTGTCTATCTCTATCTTTATCTATCTATCTATCTATCTATATCTCTATCTATCTCTATCTTTATCTATCTATCTATCTTTATCTCTATCTATCTATCTATTAATCAGCGGTAACCACCCAATAAGGTGCGGTAATTACCATTATTGTAGTCGGGAAGTAATTCGTCTATATTTTTTTGCATGTAAGGTTTTCTGAGTTAAAGGTTTAATTAATTTGAAAAATATTATATTATTCTTTGAGAAAAGTAAATGGGTTGGTAATATTAAAGTATTTATTATATATAATTGAGTAAATTAGTAATGTTGGCAGCCCTGATTCAACACATTGTTGTTCCGAAGCTGAACAATTTGGAGTACAGTAAAGTATTCTTACTTCTATTTACTTTTCCGTTAATATTTTTGGTTGTTTCTTTTATACGCTACGATATAAATTAATTTACCCTAAAAAAATTATTAAAACTTGCATGTACGATTAAGGATGAATTTATTTGTTAATATTCCCTCATTCGGATATATTTTTTGGCAGCAAGAAGACAGGCGATTGGCTGCTTGGGTTGACAACTTGGCACGGGAAACGTCAGTGTGAAGTGAGACACGGGAGGGGAAGGTGCTGTCGGTCGTCTCTCTCACTTGATGGACGCTGTTCGTAAAATGTATAGTAAGTTTTAATTTATTTTAAGTGGTTAAATTTATACTTGTGTGAAGCTGATATATTAAGGTTATTTATTTCTCGATTTTGTATCCATTTATTTTAAAATGAAATCCTTTAATTGGACTTGAAAAATATATATTAAGATACGAGTTCATTTATTATGAACAAGCATAGGTTAGTGGTCGTTAACGCCCGCAGTCACATTGACCAGTTACTTTAAGAGAATACTTTAGTACTTCGGCTTCTGCTTTTATTTAAATTAAGACTTTGTGAATATTTAAGTAACGTTCCTCATACTTGGTGTGTTTTGGTCTTGTATGTTACTGGATTTAACTTTTAAGTATTTGTTACTTGTAATATTTTTCGGTTAATATTGGTCCAAAGGTTCTCGCCATGTTTACCTGAGGTTGTACTCACTTGGTAGTCTCCTCCTTACCTATCCCTTATAGGTTAGGTAGGTAGGTAGTTTGGTTGTTTCCTTTGGTTAATTTTTTGTGTGTGTGTTTTACTCGCATTTTACCTATTTTTGTGCAAATTAACAGTTTGTTAAAAACGAATCTTTTTTTTTTTGCAAAAACCGCTAATTTGCAAATGAAATGGTCAGATTTTAGTATACAAAATACTGAAAAACTTTTATATATATATATATATATATATATATATATATATATATATATATATATATATATATATATATATATATATATATATATATATATATATACCAAAACCTGAGAACAGCTAATGGGCTAATGTTTAGTTTTCTTTTCTTTACAAGTGATGGATCCAGTTCTTACTATTGTGTTAAAAGTCCAGTTTGCTGCAACGGTGGTCGCCAGTGTGGATAGTACAGCACCTCATGTTTTAGGTAAGTTTGTGCAATCTTTTTCGTTAATCACCCATCACCATTTTCTCCATGAAAAAAAATATATTTTTTCTCTAGTTTCCTTGGGGCAATTCACTTTATTACCCAAGCCTTCCATCCCAACAATATTGGGGGATTACTAACAATATTACTTGTTTCAAGTGGGCAGGGCTTTTAAAGTAGAGGGAAAGGTGATGGGTGGTAAACGATAAATTACCGTTTATTCTATAGAGAAATGCAAGTCTGCTCCAATAACTTTGCAACTGGGGTCAAGGTGTGGTCGATCACATCTGGACACTGGCAAGTACTGGGCATGTACTGTCCTGTATGTACTGTTGGCAAGTACTGTACTGGGCATGTACTGGCTGTTACTTACTGTTGACAAGTATTGGACATGTGCTGGCTGGCCCACACACTATCAAACCTATTTGTTCATTCATCCTACATCGCCACACACTTTACAACTAGAATGATCAAACTTCACTTGGTGTGTGGTACGTGTCGCCTCAATGCATGAGTAAGGAGGAAGCCTGTATTGCTATTATACTTGCTCTTGAAAAAGACTTCAAAGTAGAAACGAAAATTATGGAAGGGGGAATGGCACAGACCCCAAGTTCTCTCACGACGCCCTATTTAAAGAACTAGTGGTATAAGATAAGTACTTTAAGAATAGATAATGAAACTGGTTGAACTGTTGGAGAAAGTGACGCCATACATAAAGGACAGTCTCGAGATGCCATACCAACAAGTCACTCTAGTACACTGCGGTTCCTGGCAACAGGCCAGTCTTATCAGTCGGTGGCCTTGGTCGCAGTAGGTATAATTTATTTCATCTTTTCCACTAATTTCCCATATCATTCTTGTGGAAGAGATGTATTCTTGTTATCTTCATTTTATTTGCCACAATGGAAACTGTTTATAAAGTTCAATAAACTCTCCAAAACTCATGAGGCCCGTATGCTCACCACGGCTACTGCTACTCTTACTTTTATCCTCTTCACCACTGGTCGGCTCGTTAGCCGCTTTGGCGATCAGTCGCGTCTGTTATGCACTGTTGGCAAGTACTGGGCATGCACCGGCTCCTGAATGTACTTGAACCTGCTCCAGTGTTGGTCAAGTCTGGTCTTGAAAGAGCTCACACTGTGCCGTCACAACACTTTTTGGTAGATTGTTCCAAGAGTTTACAACTCTCGCTTCGAAAAAGTTTGCCCTCAGTTTTCTGGACATGCGGCTTTCAATCTTGACCTGTGACCCCTTGTGGGGCTAGCGTCCGCCAGCTCCAAGTAAGGACACTCGACTGAGTAGTGCCCCTTGAGATGCTTATACACCTCAATTAGGTCACCCCTTGCCCGTCTGTGGTATAAGCTAGGCAAGTTCAGGTGCTCCAATCTCTCAGGGTAGCGGAGGTGCCGAAGTGCAGGCACCAGTCTGGTGGCCCTCCTTTGAACATTTTCAACCAACTGACAGTCCCTAGCATATCTCGGGGACCAGACACGGGGTGACAGTACTCCAGATGGGGGAAGCACTTCACTCTTGAAGACCATTACATTGGGCGGACCGTCTAGACATCTGAACGACCTTCTTGTAAGACCCAATAATTTATTTGCCTGATTCACCTTCTCGCAATGGCCCGAGAACTTCAGCTCATTGTCAACATACACACCTAGGTCCTTCTCACATTGTCTCAAATAGTGCAGTTTCTTCATCCCGTTGGGACATATGGTACGCCTCCTTAACATTGGTACGCCCCAGGAGCATCCTCTTGCACTTCGTGACATTGAATCTCGGCAGCCATTTCTTCGACCATTCTTGGAGCCCACAGAGGTCCTTCTGCAGCTCTTCACAGTCTGCTTGGTTCTTGATTTCCCAAAGTAACTAGGCAAACATTTGTATGGAGGAGTGTATAACGTCAGGCATGTCATTTATGAAACAAACAAGCAACGGGCCCAATACCTGTGGTACCCCGCTTGTGACAGGTACAGATGATGATTTTGTGCGATTAATCACCACACACTGCTTGTGGTCATGTAGCAATTCTATCCACGCTAGGACACTTCCCCGAATGCCGTACTCTTCCAGTTTGATTTTCAGCCTTTCGTGGGGTACACTGTCGAAAGCCTTGGCAAAATCTAGGTAAATGTTGTCGATATTACCACCCTGTTTCAGAATATGGGTCCAAATATCCAATACCTTGAGAAATTGTGTTAAGCAGGAGCGCCCCGGCATAAAACAGTGTTGGCAATCCTTTACAAGGTTTTCATAGTACATGTTCCATCGCGGCATCTCTGATAATACTCTCAAGTACTTTACATATTATGCTGGTCAGGCTCACCTGTCCATAGTTGTTCGTGGAGTGACTATCGCCCTTCTTGAAGATGGGACTCACAAAGCCAATTTCCATTCACTGGGGACCTTTTGTTCATCCAGACATTTACAAAACAGGATCTTCAGGGGCTAGGCAAACTTGTTGCACAACTCTCTTAGCACACTGGGATGTACCATGTCATGGCTGGGACTTTTATGGACCTTTAGCTTTTGACAGTTTATATCTAATGCCCTCTTCTGTGAACACAATGTTGGGTCAGTGCTGTGTCGAACCGTCTGTCCTCAAATGCAGGAAGATTAATCGCATCCTCTCTTGTGAACTCCGAGGGAAAGAAGCTGTTCTATGCCTCGGCTTCATCTTGGTCAGAATCTGCATAACTACCATCTTCAAGCCACGGGTCTGATACTCCTACTCGCGAATTTAATTTCAACTGCATAACTGTAAAACGCCTGCATCTATAATCTTCTCGGTTTGTCGAATACGTTGTTCCCAGTTCAGTTAATACAGATAACTAGTATACTCTTTCCATGCTAACCTGGCCTGTAGGCTATGCCCTTCTTCTGTACTAATGGCTAATTGGTTATTTGGTTCATAGAAAATTCAAACTTCACAATTGGTCAGCAGACCTGTTATCTAAAAGGTTAAATATCAGGACTATCAAAATGTAAATGATCTCAGTGCATTAGCACTTCGGAGGGGATGTTAGAAATTTTTAAATATTTATTGTAAAGGGTTGATAGAAATATGTGCAGTCTGGGAGAGGTAAATGCTCCAGGGAACCAATCGGCTATTAGTATAGAAGAGGGTCGTGACTTATAGGCCAGGTTAACAAGGAAATGCTATACAGTACTTGTACTATTCTACATAAACTTTATACCTAGTGAAGAATGTGGATTGCCTTTGTTATAAATGGTGGAATTTAAAAAAATTATTGATATTTATTAAACTTTACAAGGAACTTTATGTAGTTGTAAAGAATTGTAAATTAATGTTCTGGGTTAACGGCTGGTTGATTTTTGTAGACAGTGCTTGGATTAGTCTAACTCCTAGTTGTAAATGTTAGATTCTTAAAATTTTAACTTAGTTTTGATTATTTTGAGTTACTTTTGTAGTTTTAATGTTGTGGCATTCTTGCAAGAAACTGATGGAGAGTGTTGAATGTTACTATGCTTTACTCTTACCAAAAGCTCTTGAATATGATAAACATTCTTTCACTAACATATACCTTGCATAATGTTCATCATAAATCTGGTACAATACTGTACAGTTCTTTAAAACATTGTAGGGGGCAGTTAACCAGTATAATCAGGGGGATGATTACACAATACTTTTAATACTGTACTGTATCAAAGCTTATTTGTCAATAAATCAGTGATATCACTACTGTGTTAGTTAAAGAGCTATGGTAAAAATAAAGTTGTTACTTTTAAGTTTTTCTCCACTCTTCGGATCTGGCGCTTAAGTTCTGCTGTAAAATGCTTCATTTAGTTGGTAACTAGTTTACAGGTGTCCCTTAATATACAGGGTACTAAAATTTTGTTCCCCGAATTGCTTTCATTAAGTGGAAGTAATTGACATATTACAGTATTGTTCCTGTGAGGGAAAATCTTTTCATATACAGTTAAAAATGGCATCAAAGTGGGATTTGTTTACTTCTGTAGTGTAGACATTTGTTGAAACTATAGTTTATCAGGCATATGTACTGTATGTTGGGGTATACCTGTATTGATGTAGCATGTACTGTATATAGGCAGTGTAATGTAGGTATACTATTTATTTTTTTAAGTACATAGTTGTAATAATTATTCATTTCAGGATGATGACTTGAAGATGGAGAATGCAAGAAATGATGACCACGAGTTCTTATGGTGACGTGACTTGCTGCACCAGAAAGTCAGGTTGGGTACAGTACAGGGCATCTCATTGTGGTTTCTTTACTAAACTGTTGACAAAGTACAGTAATTGTAACCCATGGACTGCCTTGTCTAGTTAACTCTTCCAAGTGGAAATATTTTACGTATTAGTACTGCACTGTACAATACTAGGAATGCACCAATTGATGTCGGCTACAGATATCAATATTTTGCTGAATAATCCGTATCGGTCAAGTAAGAGTATTGGCTGATGTTATTTTCTGTATTTTGTGTTAAGAAGTTACTAGGTAACGTTTTTATTACCGGCAAAATACAGTAATTACGGGAACAGTTAAGTCTTTTCACTTAATATGGAAAAGTCGCGCTCGGCTGCCGATCATTGTTTTACGGTTTTATTGGATAACATGGCAGTATCCTCTGTGTAGGTCAGTCTACAGGATTTCATTACATGGTAATGAATATATTATGCCAGACAAAGTGGCTTTTATTTAATCTTTTGAGAAATAATAGGATAAAGACTGTCGCTGACGAAGATTGTTTTACATATTGTAGCATCGTAAAAGTACATTAGATTTTTATTTACCAATATTACCCAAATTAGAACTAAGAACGACCCGGTACAGTATTTTCATAACTTATAAAGAATGACATAGGTTGTTGAGGCTGGAGACGAGTTTTTTATAACAAAATTAGTCAAATTGATAAATAACTCCCTTTAAATACTACTATTTTATCAAAATAAGTAAATAATTAATGTTCCAAAATGAGTCTTAAACATAAGAAAAAAAAGTTGCTGTTGCTTAGAAATACGTGGATTTTCCACCACAGTCTCTGTACAAGTAAACATTAAGCTGATGCAGACAACTCGATGACGATACAACAAATATGGCTGTCATGAGGCGACTTTAACATAAATAATAAAGGAATATAAATATAGTAACACTTGCCATTTAATATTTTGAGCTTTGTGTGGTTTATCAATGTTACCTCGCTCCTACTACCTCTGTATTCTGACCGGCACTCCTCTGCCTCGACCCATATTGCTTTCATTTTCACGTCAATAGTAATTACTTTCCTGGGTACCTTAGCTGGTTTACCAAGACAAGACAAGACAGGGCATCGGGTTATTTAACATTGATGAACAGACTAACAGCAAGTTTGTTGGAACAAGTTTAGGTGTTAGATTATGAGTTGGTCTGTACTTACTATTATACTGTCCAGTGTATTTAATATATACACGGTATTCTTCCTGGATGGTTGCAGCTTCCAACAACTTTGATATTATTTACCTATAAATAGTTGACCACTTGATTAGTTAATAATTACTGGGTGTTGTGCCGGGTAGCCTTAAATGCTGCAATAATTTAAAACCCAGCTGCTCGTAATAATGCAGCTTCAAAAATTCCTTAAGACTATTACTAAAGTTGATGTATTTGTGGATGGCTTCTCTACCACCAGAGTAAATTGTTTTATTTAAATACTGTATTTGGCCGATACTTTGTTTATAGCCTAGCTTTGGTGGCAAGACTATATAGTGACTTAACTGTTTTACCTGCATGATAAAATTGACCTAAATTATAGCATTAACTCCAAATCTGGCGGCAGATTATTGAGTTTTGATTCTGGTTATTAACGGTGCATCGCTAATGTATTGTTCTTCATTTACTGTACTAGATTAAGTGGATTAATATGGTACTTCCATAGAGGATAAAACCTTCATTTTAGGGTCATGTTATACAATACTGTATTAGGATAAATTAGTATTGTGAAAATATTTGACTTGAAACCTTTTATAGGTAATAACTTGTGACTTTACTTCCAGTAGGTTCTGGACCTTGTCAAGGAGAGGTGTGCACTCTGCTGTACCACACATCTTGCCTCACTTGTACGGCTGTACCAGGCTTCTCTCCTCCAATATCAGGATTGCAAGTGATTCACAACACAACTAAAGGAAGCAGGTGCCAAGATACAGCCCAGACCCAGCCTTCCACCCCTCCTCTCTACCTCAGGTAAAGAATATAACAAGTTCAGTTGATGTAAAAATATACAAAAAACAAGATATTACATATAAAATAGCCTCAGAGTGCTCACTTATACAGATGAGTAAAGTTTACTTTATCTGCCTGTGTCAAAATGAACTTTTCCAACACTCTTATTGGAATTTCTCTGCCAGTTTATCCTTAAAACCAAAGACAAACAAATTGCTCTGGGATATTCAATGACCATACTAGATTTCTTGGTGCTATAAATTTCAAGACAAAATAGAAAGTAATGGAGAAATTATACTTAGATTTATATATAAGAGAAAATGTGTAAAGGGTTGAGAATATTGAAGGGATTATGGGGCTAAAATTGATGTACATTCTTGGTCAAAAGTGTTGAACACTTGACAGTATTTGGCATGCAAGTACCCAAAGATCTTGGGTATTAAGTAGTTTAATCCTATTTTGTGGTTCAGGCATAATATGATAGTGTTATTAGTATATCCAAATCATATAACTCACAAGTAGATGACAGATATTGCTAAGTGTTCAACACGTTTGACCCAGATTGTACCTATGATCCTTGATTGATAACAGGAATATCATAACAATTGACCAAAGTTAAAAGCCCCTAAACTGGACTCTGGCCGTAACTACTTATAACTTCTCAACCAATCGTTTAATACATCAAAATTATAACACCAGTAAAATAATTATTGGTCATGTTTATGCTTGACTTTGTTAATTAACTCAGTAATGTACATCAAGTTACCTACAAGATGTGTACACTTAGTAAATAATAAAGTACTCTGAGCAACATTCACTTGTAATACTGTACCCAGTTGTAGAATAATAATAATGATTATAACAAGACCTGTGACTGACCCACTCGAGGAATTCATTGACGTAAAGTTAGTGGAAAGTAAGAATATTCACCACAAATCAATAATTTCTGGGTCAAAGTCATTGAAAGAAAACATTTAAAATATATTAACAAAACTATGAACCAAAGATACAGGAAATATTGTAGTTAAGCATCAATAACTATTATTGTTAAACTAAACTCGCTTGTGGGTAAGTTTTGTGATGAAAGGTTTTTGGTTTTATAGTTTAGTTAATATGAACCATAACTTGTACAGTTCGGTTAAGTTGCTGTACAGTTACTGATAATATTCCCTAGACACTTGTTCTCAAGGATCATTTGGTGAAAAATTCAAATTGATAAAAATTCTTATTTTTCTATTATGGAGTTTATAAATTTGGTCCTGTCAAGTGTTAAGGAATTTTGTCTAAAACACTAAAGTAGATTTTGTCATTACTATATTTAAAACATTTTTATGGTTAAATAATTTGAATATTAATTTTACATTTTATTTTGTACAGAAATGTTGTTCTGAACACTGGAGTGCCATGCTGCCCGAGACTGTGCTTACTGGCCACTACCCTGTACTTGCTTGCTGCTGCCCTGTGCTTGCTGGCTGCTGCCCTGGACTGCTCTGCTCTGTGTGCCGCTCCCCTGGACGGCTCTGCTCTGTGTGCCGCTCCCCTGGACGGCTCTGCTCTGTGTGCCGCTCCCCTGGACGGCTCTGCTCTGTGTGCCGCTCCCCTGGACGGCTCTGCTCTGTGCATGCCGCTGTCCTGGACGGCTCTGCTCTGTGCGTGCCGCTCCCCTTGACGGCTCTGCTCTGTACATGCTGCTGTCCTGGACTGCTCTGCTGTGTGTGCAGCTGCCCTGGCCTGCAAATTTATAGAGCCATTAAGTTTCCATTAATAAATGTCTAAATGTCATTATGTCTTTATTAACCTCTTCCAGCATTTACAATATTTTCAACTTTTGCAGAAAATTCACCAAGTTCACCTTCAGATTTTAAAGCAAAATAATTAAATATTTGAAAAAATATCTTTATTCTTTATATACAAATATAATATACAAATGAAAAAAATATATATAAACTTGAAAAATAAACAAATAAATATATATACAGTATAAATATATATATAAATAAAAAATAAATATAAATAAAAGAATGTAAATAAATAAAACAATTATAAATAAAATATAATAAATATATAAATAAAATATATAAATAAAACAAAATAACCTAAAAACCATAAAAACTAGCTAAAAATACAGAAAAATAGCTAAAAATATGAAAAAACTAGCATATTTTATGAAAAAATGGCGAAATTTGAGCGAAAAATGGCGAAAAAATTGCCCTTTTTTTACCCTTAAGTGTTTTTTGAGTTTGCCATTGCCAGGACTAACGTTGAAAAAATTTGGTAAAGGATAATCGGAAGAGTCTCCGGTAAAACGCTTCTTCAAATTATCATTCACCAATAATATAAAAAAATACAAGCATAACGGACTACCTGGACGTGGGGAGAGTAACTCAGGAGGCGCCCAGTGAGTTACTCTCCCCCCCGTCCAGGTAGTCCGTTATGCCTTATAATACACAGATGCCAAGCTGGAGCTCTTAAGAATGGCACAAATGTTTTACCTCTAAAACCACACAAAAATGTATTATTACTCAGTTTGCCCAGGAATAATTTTGGCCATTTTTGGACTTGGAATATTTTAAATGATGAATTTTTGGACTTAGAATAATTTTTTGACTTAGAATGCTTAAACAATGAATTTTTGGACTTAGAATAATTTTTGGACTTACAATATTTTAAATGATGAATTTTTTGAATTAGAATGCTTAAACAATGAATTTTTGGACTTAGAATATTTTAAATGATGAATTTTTGGACTTAGAATATTTTTAAACAATGTATTTTTGGACTTATAAAAATTACTGTTTAGTACATCTAGACCTTAATAGATAAATACAAAAATATTTGGCATAATCAGATTTAATACATCAAAATAATTCTGACATTTCGTTGCTACTATAATATGCAGTCTACTGGGGTATTTACACTGTACCCTCGTTACATAGGATCGCTGTAATTCGGATTTCGGCTTAATTCGTACGTTTCTCAAAAAATTAATTAAACGATTTGAATTTGGAATGCATATGAAATAACTGAGTGGTTCAAAAATTTGCCTTGGCTGTCATATACAATATTATATTTATAATTATTGTGCAAATATAAATAGTTTTAAAATGTACATACAATAATAAAGTAAATGATACAGTAATAAATAATGTGAGGTGAGATCGTGGATGATATTCCATAAGTGTAACGGCCACACTGGTAAATGAAGTAAAAACCCTCATTGGAGAAATAAAAGATGAAATTTTGGAGCTGGTTTGACTATAGTGCGTTTTTTATCAGCAGAGAAGAGATGCCCCGCCCCCTTCTCAAGAGTTACAGCTGATTGGCTGTTTCAAATCTGTCCGATTTCGTCCTGAAGTAATGATGTATTTCTAAATGAGTTTATTCATAATGACCGTTTCTGACGAGAAAGATATTTAGCTAAATTATATGAAGATACATATATTAATTATTTCAAATTTAAACACGTAGAGAGTTTATCAGAAATATTATAAAAGAATTAACTGTTAAACTCTGGTAGCAAACTGACGCTTTTAGAGGACGCATTTAATATACAGTATACTGTATAGTACAGTACAGTACTTATTTTTACCCACAATAAGACACAAATTACGTATCTCTTCTCAGCTGGGAAAAAACACAATAGGTCTCTCTTCTGCCAACTAACACAACAAAACAAGGGAGAAACACATAGAACAAAGGAACAGTCTCCTTAGTTTGGTAGGTTGGGGATTAATCTTCTTGATGACAGCAGTGGACCCCAGACCTGATCCTCAATACTATTACACTTTCTAAATATCATCAACATATTATCAGTTCACCTCACAGCAAGTCTTACATTTATTTATTACTGTATTATTACCTTTATTATTACTGTTTATACACTTCAAAAATATTTGTTTGTACAGTAATTATACATAGAGTATTTTATGTGGCAATCAAGGCTTGGTAACCGAGTATGTTTGTTGGTTGGTATAATGGGGCACAATCTGAACAAATTGAACAGAAAACAAATGAATAATTGAACACAAAATGAAAAATTGTCAAATAAGGTCAAAATATTCGGAACTCGGTTAGTTTGTATTTTCAGTAGTTCGGTGGACCACAAACTAGACTATACCCTCATTCAGTTGACAAAAAGAGACTCTGGGTCACCCGAATTACAGAGAATACAAATATTTTGACATTATTTGACAATTTCTCAATTTTTTGTGTTCAATTATTCATTTGTTTTCTGTTCAGTTTGTTCATATTGTTCCAAGCAAGAAATATACTCAGTTACTATAACAGCACCAACATTTCTTTACAACCTGTCCTCATGTCATTCATTGCCTACCTCTAATTCCTGTATCTCTTGACACAGTTAGTTTCCTCCTTTCTCTCCTGAACCATCTCAGTTTAGCCTCCAGGTACTGTACTTCTCTCTGTTGCTAACCATAATCCACGTCTCACACAATCTTCTTTTCTCTTTTTATCTCTCTCTCCACTTCATCATTCCCGTCATCAACCACACTCAACGGAACATCTTTCATTATGGCCCAGCGTCTTGGTACACTGCCCCTCACTGGCTGTTTCCTAGCCTCTCAACTCACAAGAAAATGCTTCATTTACATTCAGTTCCTTCACAATTCCCACACTCTCTTTCTTGGAGCATCCACCTTCTTAATCTCCCTCCATCTTTAAGTAACACACACACACACACACACAAGCAACCTGTTCTAATTTCCTGACCAAAATGTAGCCAATCTGGGTTTCTGTGCCACCTGCCTTAGGCCTACATGGTCAGCCTACTTGCCCTATTCTTAAACACATGTTACATACCATCCCCAAACTCAAGTGTTCTTTCACCTTCAGTATTCCTTATTCCAAAGCCTTTCCCACCATGCACACCTTCATAACCCAACGCGACAAATTTGGACAATAAAAATAGTTTGTTTTAATGGAGATCACTACATTATAAACTGTATCTCCGAAAACAACATTAACTGGCATGACTATAACAGAATAATTGCCGCTTAAGTCACTCAATAGATTTTATGGCAACATTAAATGACACCGAACTAATGAGATTGAATTCCTTAACAAACAATAAAATGTATTTATGGTTTAGTCTAACCTAAATGGTAAATATATGTAAAGTATTGGAACGGTTCAACAGTCTCACTAAATCATATTGATTCTAAAGTCCTTAAAAACACAAAACAAAACTGATTATATTTTTTGTTCTTTAATTTCAAATCATATGTGATGGCATTCTAAGTCCAGGTAAATTTAAAAGATAAATTTAGCCAAATTATACCTGGATAAACAGTGAGAAATAAAGGTGTTCTGGTTTATAATTAAAATAAGACAAATTGTCAATCTTTTAGAGCCACAGCTAAACACCTCAGTTTAAAATTGACTTCCACCTCACACTGGCTCACACTACAACAGAGTAACACCTGTGATGAAACAACATTACCAGGGAAAAGCTCAAAATATTTCCATACACTAGACCACTTTAGATAGATAGATATATATTTATTATGTAAACTTATCATATAAGTTTACAATTGGTTCAACCTGCATACAGACAATGTAGGTATACAGTTCAGCATGTATATAGCCAATACAGGTATACAGTTCAGCATGTATATAGCCAATACAGGTATACAGTTCACCATGTATATAGACAATATAGGTATACAGTTCACCATGTATATAGACAATATAGGTATACAGTTCAGTATATTGTATTAGCCTCAGTCACATTAATATTATATAAATATGAGCTAACGACATATATTCATTATATACATTCTATCACCCAGACTATTGGGCATAGAGCTACATAAGCATTTGTTCTGTCACACCTCCTAGGTTGTACAGCCCATAAACATTTGTTCTTTTACACCTCCCAGGGTGTACAGCCCATAAACATTTGTTCTGTCACACCTTCTAGGGTGTACAGCACATAAACATTTGTTCTGTCACACCTCCTAGGTTGTACAGCCCATAAACATTTGTTCTGTCACACCTCCTAGGGTGTACAGCCCATAAACATTTGTTCTGTCACACCTTCTAGGGTGTACAGCCCATAAACATTTGTTCTGCCACACCTTCTAGGGTGTACAGCCCATAAACACTTGTTCTTTAACACCTTCTAAGGTGTACAGCCCATAAACATTTGTTCTGTCACACCTCCTAGGTTGTACAGCCCATAAACATTTGTTCTGCCACACCTTCTAGGGTGTACAGCCCATAAACACTTGTTCTTTAACACCTTCTAGGGTGTACAGCCCATAAACATTTGTTCTGTCACACCTCCTAGGGTGTACAGCCCATAAACATTTGTTCTGCCACACCTCCTAGGGTGTACAGCCCATAAACATTTGTTCTGTCACACCTCCTAGGGTGTACAGCCCATAAACATTTGTTCTGCACACCTTCTAGGGTGTACAGCCCATAAACATTTGTTCTGTCACACCTTCTAGGGTGTACAGCCCATAAATATTTGTTCTTTAACACCTTCTAGGGTGTACAGCCCATAAACATTTGTTCTGTTCTAGGGTGTACAGCCCATTTGTTCTAGGGTGTACAGCCCATAAACATTTGTTCTGTCACACCTCCTAGGGTGTACAGCCCATAAACATTTGTTCTGCCACACCTCCTAGGGTGTACAGCCCATAAACATTTGTTCTGTCACACCTCCTAGGGTGTACAGCCCATAAACATTTGTTCTGCCACACCTTCTAGGGTGTACAGCCCATAAACACTTGTTCTTTAACACCTTCTAAGGTGTACAGCCCATAAATATTTGTTCTTTAACACCTTCTAGGGTGTACAGCCCATAAACATTTGTTCTGTCACACCTTCTAGGGTGTACAGCCCATAAACATGTGTTCTGTCATACCTCCTAGGGTGTACAGCCCATAAACATGTGTTCTGTCACACCTTCTAGGGTGTACAGCCCATTAAACTACAGACTCAGCCCTTAATGTGTGTGGTAGTTAATGACCTGTTGAAGTGTGGTTACTGTCCAACCACCAGTCACCAGACTCAAGAGAGTTCAGCCCAGTTCACAGCCCGACACGATGCCCTAAAGTCGTGTCGTGAGACCAGCTCTCCGGGCTGTACAAGTACCTCTCTCTAAATATATCAGCTAATTATAAGCCAACAGCTAATGCTCATTAGTCTGTCAATACCAAATAATTGTACAGACATTACTACCCAATATAACTATCAAATCAGCACGTGTGTTTACATTAAACCAAGGAACAACGAGTGAAGAGAACAGTACCTGTGTGTCTTGTTTAACTTACAAGCTAAGATAATTACAAGTACAACCCATGAAAGCTGTGACGATTTAAACTATCAACGACTGTATCAAAGGTGACATGACGTGAGATGACCCGATATCCCACTCAGTTGCATCAAAGGTGACATGACGTGAGATGACACGATATCTCACTCAGCTGCATCAAAGGTGACATGACGTGAGATGACCCGATATCTCACTCAGCTGCATCAAAGGTGACATGACGTGAGATGACCCGATATCTCACTCAGCTGCATCAAAGGTACCAGCGACTAACCTACACTCGTTCAGGCAAGTGTTAACAAGTGAGATAATTTGGTATCTTACCACAGCTAAGACAATATAGACAACACAGGTATACAGTTCACCATGTACAGTATATAGACAATGCAGCTACAGGTACTGTACCTTCTTTATCACTTAATCACTGGTTAAGGATCATCCCTCCCTACCATCCCTACAGCTAACTTCTGCAGGTGATGACTACCATCCCTGCAGCTAACTTCTGCAGGTGGTGACTACCATCCCTACAGTTAACTTCTGCAGGTGATGACTACCATCCCTACAGTTAACTTCTGCAGGTGATGACTCCCATCCCAACAGCTAACTTCTGCAGGTGATGACTACCATCCTTACAGCTAACTTCTGCAGGTAATGGCTGCCATTTGAGAGTTAAGAATGTAATCCATCCTCATTTACTCAGTGAGCAATATAGAGAAACAGTCCTTAGTGCTCCTGACCTGCATCTGATAATGGCTGAACCACATCATCAAGGACAAAAGTAAGTAATAAAAAATGGCTTTGTTATAAACCATCAAGTGCCGTTGAGGACGTCTGTGTTGTGACCTTCGGAATACTGCCAAGTTAAACCTTTTAAGGAAGGTCTTCACTCCCTGGAGTAGTTTGTAACAGGTGGGTCAGACCTGCACAGTACCAGACTCACACCACCAACTTAACACCAAAATATTTATCATTGTCACCTCAGAGATCCACTACATCCTCACACAATAATAATTCTTGGCTTTTCCACAATAAAGGCCAGAGGGAAGATGGAGTGGCAAGAGAAGGCCGCCTTATAGTTGTGTGTGATCAAGACTCAATCATCAGTGGCATGAATGTTGAAGCTCACTATAGCTGAATCAACATTAAATTAGGATTCACCTTTGTATAATTTAACGTAGCGACATCATAATTACCAGTAATGAGCCGTTTGGGTAGTTGGTCTGTTAAAACTGTACAGTATGGGAGGAAACTGTAGTATTGTACCTGCAGAAAACCTGCCATGTTTGGTAGTGAGGGTAACATCTGTCCAGGCTGGGGAATGAACCCAGGACACAGTAATGCACCACAAAAGATATACAACTCCTGATATATCTGGGACAATCACCAGTGTTTTGGTATAAAAACAATAAACAATATTTTCTTGGTTCTATATCACTAAAGTGGTCTAGTTGCTGAATATATTGGACATTTTCCTGCAAATATTTGTATTCCAGGTATTAATCACATGCATTGTCAACTGTCTATCATGGTTAGTACAGTAGTTCTGTCTACAATACATATAAGACAGATATACTGTAGACAGACGGACAGAAAGATGTAGAGAGATAGACTGAGAGATATACCATATTTCCCACCATATAAGACATATTCTTAACCTGACAAATGTCTCCATAATTCACCCTACATCATATATAACTGTATACATATACACCAGGCCAAACTGTGTTAAATTGTTATTTTTCAACTCGTAGTTTTGGGAAGATATACATAGTTTTATTCACTTTTTTAGCAGTTACATGCACACACAATCTTTCTTAGACTTAGTCAAAAAATTATTATCAAAAGGTAAAAAAACACAATAAACTTTTATTATGTCGGCAGGAGTCAGCCCACGAGGGGGAGCACACCCGTCCCCCACATCTTTAGCGAAACAGTTGTCAAATGGCATGCAGTATTTTTTCCTTCCTCTTATTTATTATTATCATTTTTATTTGTTCCTCACATTTACGGGGGAATACATTAGCCCGCAGAGGGATAAAGACGCCACACTTGTCCAGATTCAATGCCGTGGTTGTGTGAAATGGTTTGTAGAGTAAAAACTGCAAATAACCGGAATCCCTGGATGGGAAATCCTCGGTTGGCGAGGGTCAACTGTACTGTACAGGTTATGGAACACATTGCAATTTTTCTCATTTAAATATTTGTTCCTTTTATGAAAGTTTAGTTTAGGTGAACTTTCTTGGGACTATAAACCTTCCATGCTATATCTGTGGTTGCCTTTAATATGGTGAGAAATACAATATAGTACAGGAGTAGAGATAGATAGATAGATAGATAGATAGATAGATAGATAGATAGATAGATAAATAGATAGATAGCCTGAAAGTTAGACAGAATGATAGAACAAAATCATCATCACCATCCAAATCATACAGCCAGTTTCCACACCATCTCTTACAGTCAGTCTTGTCAGGTTCTAAGATCATTTCTTACAATCTCTCCCCATGTCATTCTTGGCCACCTACCACTGGCTCTCCCCCTCACCACATTTAGACTCATGCACCACTTAACGCAGCTGGTCTCATCCATTCTCCCCACACTCCCAATCTCAGTCTACTTATACTTAAATCTTGGCCGATACTCTCAATACCCAGCCGTCCTCTTAGCTCTGAACGGCGATTCTTATCTTTCAGCGTCACAGTACACATCCACCTCACCATTCTCATTTCAGCTCACTCAAGACTGCATATGTCATCTTTTTTACCTGGCCATGTTTCACGGACATATAACACCACATTTCTCACACCAGTTGTATACATTCTTCCTTTCATGTGATGGGAAAGTCCTCGTGCTGACAATAAAGACAACAGTTCCCTAAACTTCCTCCAGCCATTTCTGACTCTTGAAAATGAACAGCACCCCATCCAGCACTGATCATGTCACCCAGGCAGCAGAACTCATCCATGGCTCACAACACAACAGCCTTCAACACCCCCTACAGCACTGATCATGTCACCCAGGCAGCAGAACTCATCCATGACTCACAACACAACAGCCTTCAACACCCCCTCCAGCACTGATCATGTCACCCAGGCAGCAGAACTCATCCATGACTCACCACAACAGCCTTCAGCACCCCTCCAGCACTGATCATGTCACCCAGGCAGCAGAACTCATCCATGACTCACAACACAGCAGCCTTCAGCACCCCCTCCAGCACTGATCATGTCACCCAGGCAGCAGAACTCATCCATGACTCACAACACAACAGCCTTCAGCACCCCCTCCAGCACTGATCATGTCACCCAGGCAGCAGAACTCATCCATGACTCACAACACAGCAGCCTTCAGCACCCTCTCCAGCACTGATCATGTCACCCAGGCAGCAGAACTCATCCATGACTCACAACAGCAGCCTTCAGCACCCCCACCAGCACTGATCATGTCACCCAGGCAGCAGAACTCATCCATGACACACAACACAACAGCCTTCAGCATCTTGATCATGTCACCCAGGCAGCAGAACTCATCCATGACTCACAACACAGCAGCCTTCACACCCTTCCAGCACTGATCATGTCACCCAGGCAGCAGAACTCATCCATGACTCACAACACAACAGCCTTCAGCACCCCCTCCAGCACTGATCATGTCACCCAGGCAGCAGAACTCATCCACACAGTCCAGGGATAATCTTCAGTGTTGAGTTTCTTCAGTCTTGCTGTGGACACATACTTACCTGCACATACACAACACTTACAGTCAGCAACATCCTGCAGTCTGCCATCCACTCCACTGTACCTCTTGTTTACCCACCTTCCTCACTCACTGTACCTCTTGTTTACCCACCTTCCTCACTCACTGTACCTCTTGTGTACCCACCTTCCTCACTCACTGTACCTCTTGTGTACCCACCTTCCTCACTCACTGTTAATATCTTTCTTACTGATAGCATAGATATAGATAAGGCAGATACTTGTATAGATAAAGACAGTCTGACAGTTGATATAGATACCAAACAGACAGACTGACTGACATAAAGGTATTGAAAGAATGGTAGAAAGATAAAGAGATAAAGATACTTAAAGATAGACAGTTAGACAGACAGACAGACATACCTGTAACAGCAGTGTTTCCATGATCCAGTTGTTAATTTCTCAAGGGTTTAGGTGTTACTCATCTGTAACAAAAAAAAAAACATTCAGTATACTCAACAGTTTATGATAAAAATAGGTCCATAAATTAATACAGGGGTAGTCACTCAGTACAGAAGTTGTTTGGTTTATGTCAACTTTCTTGGGACTGTAAACCTTGCATGCTTGACAAACTCTGTCATTTTTGCTTTAATATTCCCAGCTAAATTAGTGGTACATTAATACAGTAGTTTAGACAAGGGAAATTATGACGGGATGAGGGAAGAAATGAGGGGTATCCACTGGCCTGACTCACAAAGGCACAAGAACGCAGACACTACGCTGAATATCATAACTAGTAAAGTGACCCATTTGATCGATAAATATATACCCAAGACCAAACCCAGTGCCTCTAGGAATACGAGGGGATCCCTACATACCGGTATGAACCATGTGGCGGTCGACAAAGTTAAGAAAATCCAGAAAGTCAAAACGTGGGTTAGGTCAACCGATGAGCAAGACAGAAGGATGTATGCAAGAGCCAGAAATCAAGCAAAGGCAGAGTGTAGAGGGGCTGAAAAGGGGTTCCAGAGGCTGGTTGCAAGCGAGGTCAAGTCAAACCCAAAGGCGTTTTACCGCTATGCAAAGTCGAAATTAAAAACGCGAGTGGGAGTATCAGACCTGAGGCTTGAAGATGGCAGTTATGCAGATTCTGACCCGGATAAAGCTGAGGCATTGAACAGCTTCTTTTCCTCGGTGTTTACAAGAGAGGATGTGATTAACCTTCCTGCGTTTGAGGACAGACGGTTCGACACAGTACTGACCCACATTGTGTTCACAGAAGAGAGTACAGGAGAACGTCGATATAACGCGAGATACGATACGATAATTTAGTTTGGTACTTGAGAGAAACACAAAATACTATAAAGACTGAGGCTACCCAGGTGCACCTCACCCCATCTCCTAGAATAAACAAAACATGTTGTTTTTATAGTATTATGTTAAAACAAACACTCATAAATCAACACAGCTAAAATTAAGGGATGCGAAATGGTCTGTTTACTGGCTGGGAAGATTTATTTGTTTATTTGTGTCCTTTAGCTTGAGTTTATGTTTTTTGCTTATAAAATGTCACAGAAGTGACCAGGGAGAATATAATTTACATTGCTGAAATTCTTATAAGATAGTGATTAATTTGACTATAAACATGCTGTAGTTTGCACTAAACAAAAATTTTAGTAATCATTTAGTACATTATTTTGAGTGCCCCCTGTACATGTACAGTACAACCTTCTCGAATTCCCCAGCCTACGCCTCCAGCGCCGCCCATGGAGCGGGGTTCAACTATCTACCCACGCCTACCCCCGCCTTATAAGACCTGGCACCGCTGTGACCAGCCTCTTTCTACACAGTGCCACCAGCAAGCAACACCTCCTCCTCCGCGTCAGCCTGGCGGCTCCCGCTCCCGCCGGCGACCTTGGCGTCCCTCAAGCCGCGTGCCCTCACTCTGGGCACCCTCACCACCCAGCTCTCTCTACTCAACGCTTATTACCATGCTACCTACCCTGCAACAAGCTGCATTGTACATCCAATACAACATGTATACAGTGAGCACATTGTGAGTTTCCTTCTCCATCCCGTCCTGAGTGTGAACCAATATCTCACCCCTACACCCTTACTTTGTCCAATATGTTGTCACAATTATAACATTCCCTGTATAATCCCTGCACACATCCCCCTACATATTTATACTCAAATAAATCCTGACAATACAATATAACAAAACAATTTTCCTCACACACCTTACAGCAGCTGTTGTTGTTTACTTCATCATGGCGGAGGGTAATACATCAACGCTCCCTGTCAGAGTTACACAAGGGAATAGTTTTTCCCTTATTTATTTTTAACGCTCTAAATATGCTTAAAAATATTCTAAAATATTATTTATCTTAAATTTTGTGGGTTTGTTTCAGTGTGTGCTGTTTGCCAATAATTCCTTATAATTTTGTATAAGGTCTCCCTCAACACAAGATATACCTAAAGATGCTCTACTAATACAGGAAAGATCCAGCTACAATATATATTAAACGTGTGTACTGTACAGGCCACATACCTCAATAGTAGCGTCAGCTATTGGCTGCGTCCAAAAGCTGTTCGTGACGTCATAGACGTTGATGTGACGTTTTGAGCGATGTTTTTTACGTATCCCATTTATTTTAGACATCAATCTTCATTTATGTATGCATGTATGTATACATACATACTCCTGTGGGGTATCGTGATGTTGCGGTGCTTTTGAAGATTAGTAGGGTTGTAGTGGATCACTACCTGGTGACCGGACCATTGTCTCACCCTCCTCTACTATATATATAAGCCTTGTTATGTATTGCTCCTTAGTCTGTACTCACCCCTGAAGATATATATATATATATATATATATATATATATATATATATATATATATATATATATATATATATATATATATATATATGATAAAATCACACGGGAAAAGGGAAACAACGTGTGATTTTATCAAGATTTATCTTATCCACGTTTTCATTGTGGATCTACATGAAATATATATATACTGTATATATATATATATATTGATAAAATCACACAGGGGAAAGGAAAACAATGGAGCACCTTAGCTTTCGTCTTTATTCAAGACATATTCAGAGGCAACTGAATTACTTGGACAGAGAGAGGCTTAAGTACACTGGGTGACCTTACTAAACATGAGGTCAGGTCATAAACATGACATCCACTAATCCGCACACCAACACAACCACACACGCAAAGGAGCTTAAGGGAAAGGGCGACATGACTTGTCAAGTTAAGTCAGGTCAAAAATATGGGGCTCACTAATCATCTATACTACATCTAACTGCAATGCTTTAAAAGCATTTTTAACCTTAGGCCACTGACAAATAAATTTGTGTATCATATTATCAGTTTTGTACTGACCATCACTAAGGTTTATAGAATTCGATTCCCAAATTAAACTTGGAAGTCTTTCTGTGACACATGATGATTTGTACACTTCTAAGCTGTTTTCCCAATCCATGGGATGATTATTGTTCCAAACATGAACGAACAGTGCACTGCTTTCAGATGCTGTTCTGATATTATACTTGTGCTGTTTAATTCGGAGTTGCAATGCTTTCCCAGTCTGTCCTACATAATTTCCATTACAGTTCCTACATGGAATGCAGTAAGCACTTCATTTACATTCAAGGCTGGGCTATTCTTGATTACTATATTGGTAATAGTAGTCATACTTAAAAACATCATTAATATTTAATAATTTAAGGGACAGAACTAACGGGACAAATTCATTGCGATAAGGCAGTCAAAATATTCTTAAATGTAGGAATTTGAATGGTTTGAAAGAATGAAAGGATTTTTAGCCATTTTATAACAATTATCAACAAACAATGAAAGGTACCCAGTTTTTGTGCAATGGACTGAATGTGTTTCAGTTCTTCATCAATAAATTCAGCTTCGCAAGTACGCAAACATCTCAAAAACATAGCAGAAAAAAATACATTTCGGTAGATTCCAGGAGACTCGATAATAAATGTGTGAAACTCTACCTGTGTAGGCTTTCTTTACACCTTAAATTTATAGTTATGACCATTTCTAATGATAAGTATATCAAGAAATGGAAGGGATCCATTTATTTAACTATGCTTCAAACAGATCTTGTATACCTCGGTGTGAGCTTCATACACCTCGTTAACCCATGTGACGAACAACCACGAACAGTGCAATGATCAGAGGATCTTATGAATGTGTTCAACGTGTGAGGGGAGGATCCCTAAATACAAATTGAAGTGAAGTGGGTATACCCACGCCAAGAAAACTTGCCAGTAGTGTGTAACAGAGACGTGACCGATCGCCCAAGCAGCTAACGAGCCGATCATTTGGTGAAGAGGATAAAGTAAAAGTAGGTTCAGGTTGGCACCTAGGCTGCTCCGGGCTACGGTGCCGAGTTATTGTTATAACCCAATGAATGTTCCCAGGAACTAGCAAACCAGACCCTTACTTTAGTATGTAATTTGGAATTAAGATATATATAATTATAAAACAAAGTCACAATAGATAGGAAAATGTATACAGTGGGGTATGCTATAACGAACGGATCCTACTACGAATAGTCCTATAACGAACGGTTTTACCTATAAAATTGAGAATGCTATAACGAACGAAACTCCTACAACGAACATTATTTAAAAAATAATAATTTTTTTTTTTTTATACTAATTTATTGTTTTTTTATTACAAGAATTAATGATATTCTTTATTTCAGGGGTTTAGATGCATATTTATGCACTTTTTTAAAATTTTTACAATTTTATATTATATTTTTCAGTGTTAAGCGGTTGTATTTGGGGGCCTGGAACGGATTAATCCTATAACGAACGAATGCTATAACGAACAAGGTTCTAGAACCAATCAGATTCGTTATAGCATACCCCACTGTATGTGAGAACCAAAAGAATGTCAGTGAATATTAAAAGATTGGAAACTGTAGGCCTACGTCAGTGAGACGCAAGGCATCGCCCTCAGTGACGCCCACCTTCTCACCAAAACAGGTGCGCACCCAGAGTGTAGGCCTAACAACCTCTGCTGCTTCACTGTGAGAACATAAGAACTAAGGAGTCTGCAATAGGCCGGTTGGCCTGTGCATGGCAGCTCCTGTCGAGGATCCCACCGGATGTGGTGTGTACTGCTTATGGCCCTTATGCCACCTCCGCTGTGAATCTGTGGATACACTACATACCACCACCCATGATAGGAGAACATGACTGGGGTTTTGAGAAATTTCGCGGTCGCCACGTGGAGCGACCTAAGGATACCAGGCGTGGAACCAGTACTGGTATGATTACCTGGGAAGTATCCCATCTACCGAGCGAGGTAACTGGTATGTGTACCAGAAGAATACCGAGGATTGCCATACTTGTAGGTGTGAGGGGTACCTGAGATGTGGTGCTATAATATAACATGTGGTGCCATCTGATGATGTATTGGGTTACGGTAAGAAGGAATGACTGAGGTAAGGAGGTCAAGGGTTGTTATGAAGAATGAGGATAGTAATAGTAGTTATTTTAATGAAGGCCAACCATTTTTGAAGGGTGACTAGATGCTGTACGTTTTGGTTGAGAAATAAATTAGTTAAGTCAGGATTGATGTTTCACCCTTCCTCCCACTCTCGATTGACTCAATGAAAAACCCAACTCAATGCCTGGCTCGCTCTGCCAGCTACCTAAACAAACTACATACTGTCCAGGGCGTCAGGTGGCAGTGACCAGAAAATTAAGAGTACTGTATGGAATCACAGATAAATTTCTGGCTAAGAAGGAAGTGGCGTCGGTTAAGGTCCTCAATCCAGATGTTAAGGGCTTTTTCCATCTTCACCATAGCTGTATCTATCCCTCACATTAGTGGCTACCTTGGCAGAAGAAGGGGCACTCAGGACAATGGCATTATGAATCTCTCTCTCTTTCTTCTTGATGTAATGGACAGTCGACTCATTAATGCCATACTCCCGGCCACACACGGCAAAACTTTGGCCACTCGTAAATATGTCCAGCAGTTGTATCTTTTCCACGAGGGTCATGACCTTTTCCCTCTTAGCTTGTTTGGGCATCTTCCCATGGCTGGATGAAGAAGGTTGAGGGCGCTTGGGAGCCATCACAAGCACGAGGAGCACAGTTCTTAACACAGCAGTGAAGCACACGCACAAGACAGGCGAGTGTTTATCCCGGACTGAGACCTAGTGGATGCGGAGGCCAGCTGGCTGGGACAACAGACATGCCTTACGGGACACCACAAAACTCATGCGCTCCTCGTCATGGGCCTGGAACATGCCATCAACTTTAAAAGCACAAATTAAAAACCCGCAAATTGTAAGGAAGTGTATGATGTACTTATATATGGTCATGCCAGAACAGAACCCAATGGGTCGCATTTATGACATTTGATTATAGATTTCCTGAGATCTTGTGTGACCTATCTACACACCAAATTTGGTTAAAATCCACTACTATACATTTGATTAATAATGCTCAAGAGATCAAACACACAAAAAATATTATGCATTTCTTTATCCCCAATGATAGCAATGGGGTGACAAAACCTCTCCTCGTGTATCTATCCACTTCTTGTCCTCCAATTTAAGAGGAACAAGCAACCAAAGTTAATAGTAAAAAAAACTTTGGTTATGTAAAAAGAGTTTTATTTACAAAATTACTACAATGAATAAAACAATATGACTATCACCTAATTATTATACAATAAAACATGAATGAACCACAATATCAGTATCACCATTATTAACTAAATATCAAACTTAACCCCATAAACTTTAGATCTGGAAACATCCAAACAAATACAATTTCTGTAATAAGTGTAACTATCAAGAGGCTGAATCAACACATCCTCCATGTGAGGTAAATATAAACACTTCACAATCTTAAGGATCCGTTAAGAAATAAAAACAATTAAGTACACATTTCTTACGATAGTTTCTGCACAAACTTGAGGCCATTTACCTACATGATCCACCTGTACATTAATGCACTTGTTTCACCTTGCCACTCCACATTACATTATTCACAAAGGAGTTTTAAATAAGAAGCAGTCATAAGCTGGTGACACTATTCCTAAGAAATCTAAGCTACACTGCATAGGTATAAGACAGCTTGTAGCAAGATGAAGTATGTGTATCAGTGTACAGGAGGATTATACTGAGAAAAGACTGAGTAGTACAGAAACAATCACAATAACCTTGTGAAACTGGTATTGGCAGATTTATCTATTGATCAGATCTCCTATGCTGTATTCACATTGAAATTAAATAGTCAAAAGATGCAGACTTCTCCAAAAACAACATAAGTACCAGAGGGACAATGAGATAAAATTCTTCATACAAATCATCAGATGTTTCAACCACAATCCATTTCTTACTTAATGGGATGAAGGAGAAATACCATACTGGATAGAGAAAAAAGTGTTAATACACCCCTTGTTCAATCAACAATAAATGAGTAAACTCTCAGGTGCATCTGCTGAAGGCTTGAATCAGACTAGCACCTGTCTGACCACCCTACGTAAAAGTACGTAAACAATTGTATGCATGAATATATATAGAAAGATATTATTTTACCCCTCATGTTATCTTCAACACTATCACCATTGCTGTCATAGCCTCTAATTCAAATAAATTCAAAATTGAATTCAAATTATTCCCAAATTCTACATTCATAGAATATATAATGTACACTACAGTATTTGTTTTATTCTATATAATACAATAATGCAAAGTCCAGAACCTTGTATTTACCCATCATTCGTATCAGCACTTCCAGTCATTTGTTCTTGAATAGCTTTCTTTTTTATTTTAAATAAAATAATGTGAAAATCCCAGACAAGCCTCACCAAAATAGAAATACGCAATACCAAAAAAAAAAAATTAATTCTCCGCTTTATCATCAGTAACTAAGAATAAAATTCCAAATACTGCAATAAATTACCATAAATAAAGTAAAAACTCTCAGCTTCGATGGACTTACCCGGTTCAAGGTCTGGAGGTGTATACAATACTATGGTTTAAAGTGCTCCCAACAAATTGAGTGGAAATTGATTACACTTCAAGTGAAACTTGTCTTGGATAAGTGTAGTTAATGCACTGATAACCACCACTGTTACTTAGTACAGCTGTATTACTTATTCTGAGCTTTAAGCTTCTTCTCTCTGTATTTTTTGCCCTCCTGGACCTCCAATTTTTCGTCTTCAGTCATGTCCTTGTTGATGGTTGTTATGACACCAGTTCCAATTGTGACACTTCCTTCACGGAGAGTAAATCGCTGACCTTTCTCCGCAACCATGGGTTTCATCAAGCGTATTCTGAGCCTATACAAAAAAGTAAATAATCAATCAAAAGTTCCTCTGCAACTGAAAATCTGGAATGTAAATGTAATGTTTAGCAGTTCTTGCACTATAAAACAAATGTTAATTACGAACTCCCCCAGCAATGCAGGAGGATGCATTTACAAGGTTCCTTGCAAGGAATGCAATATGTTCTACTTAGGCCAAATGGGCAAAGATCTTTTAACTAAAGTTAAACAGCATAAAATTAGTGTTAGGACGGGCCAGGAGTCCAATGCTTTGTTCATTCATATGAGAGATCAAATTTATTGGATCGACTAGGCTGAAGCCTCCTCAATCTTACCTTGTAATTCACATCTTCAGGGGAGGGTACAGTAAAGGAGAGTGAGATCAAGTTCCTAGGGACAGCAGATGTCCACCATATTCAATTCATTAAATACTGTAGTTACCCAACCCCTTTACCTGGTTGCAAATCATCTTTATGAAAAAATTATCCAATTTGTACATGCCATCACTCAAATTCATGTTGACGGATTCGGTATGTTTAATGAGACTAGATTCTATAATTACTCTTCCTTAGAGCACAGGGCCCTCACAGAAAAACCACTGCCAGGTTGCCACAAATTAAAAACCTCCTTAATCTGTTGCATTATCCTCATCCTATTAAGATGTATAACTTTCATCTGTTAAGTCTTTAAAAGTTCCTGGAAACAGGTTTTCAAGAAATTTCAAAAGTGAAAATGAATAGAAATAATGTTGGGGCAGCCAAACACCACATTCATGATTTTTGCCTAAAGTATCCATTACCACACTGTTACTTAACATTTTGCCAAGTCTCAAACACAATACATACTTCAAACTATTGCTATCGTCCACTATCTTTGATCCCGTTTCTCTAATCTTCTTGATCCCTATCCCATTATCTTGGCATAGTACATATATTCCTGCAAGTCCTTCATTCTCTTGGTGAAATTTTCAATAAATTATATATTTGCTACCAGTAAATGTCTATATGAATTTCAAAAACTCTTTCATTTCAATTTTAATCATTAGAGAGAGCAGCTGACAATATTTTAAACTCGTACTCCATGAGGCCCAAAGTAAATCCTGCACCCAGGCCGAGATGGAGAGCCAACTTTGTCCCTGAAGTAAGACATCCGTCACTCCATCTTGTCATGGTTTAAGAGCAAGCAGCGCCTCCTTCATATCGAATCAAAGTTTGACAATATTGTGGGGCACAACAATGTATGAAATTTATTTATTTTTATTTATTTTTTCATTAATAAAAAAAATCTTTAAACATACTTAGCATCTTCTCCTGGCATCACCATCTCTTTATCAACAACGATGACCTGAGCAGATGATCGCCAAGTTTTGCTGTATACCAACATCTGAAGATATGATGTAAAAGGCTTGGATCTGCCACCTTCATCCTTTGTCAGAACATACACCTGCCCTTCAATGTTGTCGTGAGCTTTAACGCTTCCTGGTTTAGCCAAAACCTGCCAAGAAGCATAAAATAAATTTAAGTTTCTAGAAAAGGAATTTATCACAGTCAGTACAAAGACTATATTAACCAGTATCTTTTTTAAGAAGAGGTGGGCTAGTGCATGAGTGTGGGTGGGTGGTTCTAAATTCTTTGTATCAGCCACTTTTGGTTATTATATGTCCCAATCCTAAAAACCGTAAGATCTTGTCCCTTCTAGGAATAGTTTGGGGTGCTGGATGTACAACCTTCCTCATATTTTTCATCCACTGATAATTTTTCAAACCTTCAACTAATAAGGCAATGAATCAAGAGGATGATGGTTTGGTTATCAAAATTAATGTTTCATCACTTGTTTGAAACCAAGACAATACCATACATATTGTTTACTCCTCTTAAGCCCTTTCCTGCCATAATACTGGGTGGTCACCATATCAAGAGTAAATATACAAACACATCCCCCTTCATTTTTTGTCCTGAATTCATTTTCACAGCTGTAATAGGTGTGTGCTGCTTCTGACAATCCCCTTTCACAACAAGGACCAAATACTCATCTGGTGACTCCAATACCTCACACAACCTAGAATTAGCAACACTCTCTCCCCAAAAAATCACAGCTACATAAATTCATCTTTATATATATGACACCCTCTTCCCATGTGGATTTCAGAACTGACCACACATCTTTCCAAAACACTTCAGCCTTTACCAACCTCCAAACTTTAAGTGGTTAAGACAGTACAGCAAAGTTTTTAACATTTATGAAAGAACTCAAGTACTGATGTGGGTATAACATAAGTAAAACAATCAGTACTGTACCCGCTTGCAACATCCTGCCATAATCAACTCTAAACAAAGAATTAGCCATACCTGTACCAAGTGTAACATCAATCCTCATCAGTCAAGAATAAAAGTGGGTTAAACAGGACAAAATACTAAAGGAAAGAATCATCGTGTAATTTTATGATATTTAAGATACACATTCAAAGATAACTGCAACAGAATCTAAAAAAAGTAACCATACCATTTTCAATTTGATTCCTCTTAGTCTCAATATAAAATAAAATCAACTGTGATATTAGATATACACCAATTATTCAGAGACAACAAAGAAAAAATATTCAAGGGAACTAACCATGCCTTTTGTAACATCGTCCCTTTTAAGGCCTCGTACGAGAGCTGCCATTTGATCCCCAGCATGAGCCTCTTCCAGGGTTTTATGGAACATTTCAATACCAGTGATGGTGCTCTTGATTTTCTTCCCAAAACCAATAAATTCACCGTCCATCCCTTTCTTTATTGTGCCACGCTCAAGCCGGCCACCAACAACAGTACCACGACCTGGAAAGAACTATATTGCTGTCAAAGTAGCTAAAGTGGAGTCACGATAGTTCATTAAATACAAATTCACATGCTTAAATTTGCGGCTGCTGCTATTATTTGTTTTCAGTCAAATATTCATAATTTGCAGTCGAGTGACAGCTGCCATAGTTTTTATTTACATAAAAAGCATAAAAGTTGTGGAAATCATTTCAATGCCCTAAAGTGACCTGGATATAAAGGAAATATAATACAGCATACCATTTCAATGCTCTAATGTTACTTAGAAATAAAGAAAATATAATATAAAAATATACAGTAAAAGCTTTATAAACCAGACTTCACTTTTTTCGGACTCTCTGAGGTGGTCCGGACAACCATTCTATTCACTAAAAATATTTTGAAATGTTCAGAAAATCCAGCATCAAGTCCGGACGGTTTGTGTGTTCGTAAATGTGGTTTAATGTGTGTGCATGGGTGTCTCGCAGCACAAGTCCTGCCTTCATGTATCGTATCAGTGTGCTGCATCTCGCTACCTACACTCAATTACGTGAACTTTTTTATGTAGAGTCTGTATTATCTTTAACACAGATACTTGAGGGTTTTAAGAAATGGGTTAAAATAATGTAGAGTACTTGTTTTAAGAAATTTGTTGTAAGCCTAATGAGAGGTAAAGTACTGTCCATTTAAGCGTGCTTTATCTCACCGGAATTATGAGTTGAAAAAAAAAGAAGTTTCATAACTCCCGCTATATCTCGCTGATGCACAAAGACAAGTTTATATGAAGAAAGTTATATTTATCTACCCAAAATTACTGCTCTAATCTTCTAAGAATTCGTCTTGATCGACTCATTCACAGACAAACCACTCCAACAAGTGGAAGTGGTGGAATGTCCTCTCTCTAGTCTTAAGAATGTCTAAATCAAACAGGATAATGGTCTTATTCTTCTCTGCTGGAGTGTCCCTAGTCAGTGGAGCACTTTGAAAATGTTTAGGTAGAGCCATGGTGACAAAAGCAGGTAAAAAATTTAAGTTAATCCAAACGAAGGTTTTGGTTGTGGCAGGAACGAGCACTAGTTAAACTCTGAGCCCACAAGGTGTTGGGTAGCATGGGGACGCTACCCACAGACTGTAATGGATTCGACCGCTGGCCCGCTGGGGATGTTACCTATGGATTGTTAATGGACTCGACCACTGGCTCACTAGGGACTTTACCCACAGACTATAATGGATTCGACCGCTGGGGATATTACCCATGGACTGTAATGGATTCAACCACTGGCCTATGCAAAATGTTTTCTAACTGACCACATTCGACCAAATTTTCCTGTGTTAGCCAAGCTGAACCTATGTTCGAGTGAATCTTAGTCTATGTTAAGCGATACCGGATACTAATAAATAACTATGTTCGAGCGAATAAGTATTGAAACCTGCATTAAACAAGGGGGCAGTGTATGCAAAGTATTTAGTGTTCATTAAAGCAGTTTTGAAATACAAGTGCTCCTCGACTTACGACCACCCGGACATATGACAGCCGCAGTCGTACAATTTTTTTCTAAATTACGTATTTTCGAGTCTCGACGTTAGTGATCGCGCTGTGTACTGACAAAAAAAATTTTTGTAATTCCCTTTAAAATGGCTGGCAAGCGTAAAAGTGAGAGTTCTCGTGATGCTGAGAAGAAAAAGAGACACCCATTTTAGATTTCCTATGTATTATTTTCGCATTTTCGACTTACAACCAACTTGACTAACAACCTGGTCATCAGTCCCTAACCCCGTCGGAAGTTGGGGACTAACTGTAGTTAATGCATACATATTTTTGGCCTCTCGAACCAAACTATTTATTTCCATTTAAATTAATTGAACTATAATTCATGATTTGATACTTCATGTCTTTTGGTACCTTACCTGCAAATTATTGCAACTCTGCTTTATCTTCCTATAACATTACCACAAATTTTCTTTTTCACTCAATCACTTAAATCTTAAAATTACATGATATTTTTGCCTCCAGTTCCAAAGACAGATTTCTAAAAAGAGACACTGGTACTGTATATATTTTTACCATAAGGGGAGAAAAAGGGCAGAACTGACAAAATATTTTAAAAAGAGAAAAGCAAATTGTTGTCTCATATAACAGTACTTGAAATCTTCAAGAACAGTAATACTGTACACTGAAGACCACAACAATACATGAATAAAGACACAAGTCTCAATGAAGAAATTAACAGAAATATGCCTAGATTGTGTATAAAGGGGGATCATTACAAGTTGCCTTGCTGTACAACAGGAGGCCTCTGGGTTATATATGGGGAGAAGCTGATGTATCAATAAAATTATTTTCATAAATCTCACATATTTATCACATCAGTAGTACTGTATTATTATTTTTTAACACCATCACCTGCTCTCTTATTTAAAGAAGTTCTCTACAGTTTATAAAAAAAATATAACAACAAATTGTTACTTGCATATAGCATTAACAAACCTGCAATAGAGTAGACACTTTCCACGGGCAGTAAGAAGGGCTTATCCAACTCTCTCACAGGAGTTGGTATATGTTCGTCAACTATTTTCATAAGTTCTTCAATGGCCTTAGTTCCTGTCAAAACATTCTGAATTTAAATAAAATATACAATTATCATTGGAAATTAATCATTCCATTACCTAACAGCACATAAAAGGCACTTTGAAAACAATAACTTCATAATGAATAATACAGTACTTAACGGACAGATTGTCACACTAGGGTTTTATGCAGAGGTAATTAACAAACAGAATGATAATGGGTTTAACAGGGCAGCTACATAACTGTGGCATGAAGTGCTATGTATTAATAGTCTGTCCTGCATTAATATTTACCAATACAGTACATGATTCATTTGTGACTACACGAGACATAAATTACTCAAATGGAGAGTAATTATAATAATAGCTGGTGTTTTGCTTCTGAAAAGCACAAATTCTTCTAAAGAATTCACTAGTGCTCGAAACACCATAGTCAAGGACCTGAGAATAAAAAAAGAAAATGAACAAAAAAAGTGACATTTCAATTTGTATCATTCATATATCCTTAAGTTGAAACACTTCCTAAACCCTGTAATTCTCCATCACTATACCCTCTTCAACACAGGCGTAGATTTGTTGTAATTGAAGGGGGATGACTTCCGAGACTTATAGAAATGAGCCTCTCAACACAACCATAACAAAATACTGAACATCTTTTAAATCGTTTCACAAAGCATAATACTTTTTTGCAGAATTGACATGCTGGAACTACCATATTATGTATGACTTGACAGGCTAACTTAAGACACTAACATTGACAACACTATTGTGTCAACCCTTATGACCTGAAGATGTTAAACCCCAATGTCGCAAGCTATCACATCTCAGAGGAGGGGATGTTGGGCCTGGCAAGACCTTGTCGGTCTTTTTTAATACAGGTAATCCTCGACTTACGACAACCCGGACGTACGACCGCCGTAGTCGTATAAAATATTTTTCACATTTTCTAGTACCGAAACGTTTCCGTCCCGCATGACAGTGTGGGCTGGGCTGCCTCGTGGTGTACACCATGTTAGCCTATCTGAAGAAAGCAAAATTGATGACCGACCCAACCCTGTCTCCTCCTCTGCTTCATCCAATTAATGTCGTCTCCAGGTTTAATTAAAAAATTATTGAAGCCCCGTGTGCATTCAGCTGACGTCATTAAAGGTAAGTGCACAGTAACACTTTATTCATTTTTCATTATTGATTACTTTTACTGTACCATATTTCATTTTAGAATTTCTATCTATTATTATTTTCACATTTTCAACTTACGACCTGGTCGTCGGTCCGGAACCCCGTCGTAAGTCGAGGAGAGACTGTATAAGCTTGACATTACATTGCTCTTATTTCATCACTAAAATGCTTAAATTACCAGGATAAACATCCACCAATTACTTTTGTGCTCATGACTATTAAAGATCATTATAAAAAATACAAATGTACTAATGGTGTTCTCTCCTGGGCAACTCACACACAAAACTAGTTTGTTTTTTGTTTTTTTAATCCCGGGGTTCTCATTCGATGTCTCTTCAAAATGGTGGAATCAGCCAGCCAATGAAAACTCAGAATCTTGGAGTGCTCCCCTCAATTTCAGTTAAGAGAAACATTTGGAATTGCAATGTTTTTGTTAAGAATTACATTAAATGTATGGGGGATGATTATATAGGAAATATTGCAACTTGATTGAAGAGGGGGATATGCATTTGCAAGTTTAAGTAGCTGTGCATAAGATAAAGTTCTACCTAATCCAAAAAACACATAAAATATCAATTAGGTTAAATTAAAGGTAAGCAATGTAGGTCTCAACAGGTACAACAACCTTCAAACATACCTATTTCCTCATTTCTCTCTTCTATGGCTGCTAAAGCAGATCCTTTCACCAATGGAGCATTGTCACCATCATAACCCATCTCCGTCATAAGTTCACGTACTTCCATTTCCACCAACTCCACCATTTCCTCGTCCGCAGCATCAAGCTAACAAAGATAATATTATTAACAGTAACATCAATCAAAATTCCCCTATATTATTCCAATGGCACTAAAGTTTCCTTACAATTCCCAAACACACATATTTGATAAAGCTAATAATTTTAATGAAGCTATATTACAACTCCCCTATAACATTACTAAATAGAAAAGGTCCACTTTGATCATACACCCTCACTGTCACTAACTTCCCTCTTTCTATCCCCACATTGTTTTCCCCTCTGAATGAAAAATGAACTACACTTTATCCATAAATATTACCACAAAAACATGCTCTTTATCACAAACAATGACTATATATTACCATAGCCCCCAATGATCTATGCTAATTCACATTTCTAAGAAATATATCTACAAGTACTGTTAGACTTGTACTTCTATTCAAGGTGGTGGAGTATGTATATAAACTTTACTCACTGAACATTAAGAACATAATGTTCACCAAACAAGTTGTTGGTCTGATATACGAGTATGTACAGTACTCCCAAGCTCTAAATGTGTTTATGTAAACCTCTTATAATAAGGTACAGAATAAATGTAATATTACTTGTGCCAGAATTCTTTTTATTATTGTCCACCTCACATAAGGTCTTTCTATGTCTAGTCCCATAACTTCACACAAATAACCTCATTAATCAAGATCTTCAAAAAGAATAAATTTTAACTTCCAATGCTTCTTAATTGCACTCATTCTCCATTTCTTAACCACATAAAGAAAATAACTTAATCCCTTGAATATACTGTAATATCTTTCTCCCTTCACTTCAGGAATGCCACTGTTAATATTTTATTTGGCTAACTCCAGACAATTTTACTCAGCAGAGAGAGGACCACATACACAAGGGGCTAACACTCTTGAGCACTATTACCTATTCCCTTATGTATGATGACTCTGTACTTATGGTTATGTTATTGTACACAAGAGGTTAATCAATTTTGTTCAAATACATGAGATAAACAGTAATGATTAAACGAGACAACCCTGACAAAATCCTTTTTATTTTATCCTTAAAGCTATAAATGATATGTATTTCAATGATAATGGAATATTTCCCAGAAGTAAATTCTTGATCAAATTTATATCATCCACATACATCATAAATTCACAACTTCCCATCATGTATTTACCAACTCCAAACTCCTCCATATTATTTCAAGAATATTCCCACTATAATACAGGGTGGCCAGAATCAAGAGGCAATACACACACATATTCAAACATTCCCTTCACTATCTCTCAATCAGTTCTTAGCAGTGTCATATGTTTTCTACAGTACCAGTCACATTCTACAATACATGTACAGCAATGTAACCAGCTAAAAGATGAATAATTTCACATGGTTGCTAACCTTATTTATAAATACAACAATGTGTTCAATACCAATTTGCTTGGCAAGAACAAGATGTTCCCTGGTTTGGGGCATCACACCATCAGTGGCTGCCACAACAAGGATTGCTCCATCCATCTGTGATGTGCCAATGATCATGTTCTGTTTAGTGAAGAAAAATTATCATTGAGCAAAGCAGCTGAGAGTGTTTATGGTTAATATTAATGTGTTCATATGGTCTTCAGCATTTAATGAAGCTGACCCTTGAGGAATATGTGATTATCTGCAGCTATACCAGTACAGTACCTCTTACACAATGAATGATATATTATAAAAATAACATTTCATAATTTGTTTTCCATCAAGCTTACTCTAAATAACAAAAATAGATATCATGTACAGTAATGTCATGAGTCATATATCCCTGTGTATATCCATAAGTCTTACTTTGATGTAATCAGCATGTCCTGGGCAGTCTGTGTGACCATAATGTCTGTTTTCTGTGTTGTATTCAATGTGAGCAACATTGATGGTGATTCCTCGGGCTTTCTCCTGTGGGGCATTGTCAATTTCATCATAACGTTTTGCTTTAGCTAACTCCTTACCTGCAAGAACTGTAAATGAAAAGAAGTTACTTAGGGATTGTTATCCAACTGGGTTTTTTTTCCTATGACTAAAGAAACACCTGATCAGAGGACTAAAGATATATGGTATTTTAGAGACACATTAGTCTGAGCTCCAGTCGAGTACGTACAGTACCACCCAAACCTAATGAAATGACTTCCCTACCATATAATAAATGTCCCATACATGTCAGTTATACAGGAGCAAAACACCAAAATACTTCATTGATGTATTCAATGACTTAAAATGGCTGTATCTAACTTGGAAACATATTCACTACATCATACAATTTGAAGTTACCCAACATTTGTTTATAAGCATACTAATAAATAATAATGGTTGCCCCTCATGTAACGAGGATGGCCAGCCCAAGGGCCACCTAGGCATGAATTTGTTTAAGGTGTAGAAGCTGTCGCCAACACAACAACCACACCCTAAGTTAACGAGTTGCACGACCCAGTGTCAAGGAATAGTCCGAGAAGACCGGATAACTCGCCAACTGCACTTGCTAACCATTACCCTGGAATACGATCCGCAAATCGATTAACATCCAAGTTCCCAATTACCCTGTACTAGGACTTGAATTTTTTTACAAAAATAATCTGATAAAATACATAAAAAATGTGAATGGCACGAGTTCAATTTCAAGACCACGGATAAGTCGCTACACAAAAAATCATTAAACCAATGCAGTGAGAGACTGAATTATCTTCCCAGCTTTGGCTGAAGTATAATGAAACCTGACTACCTAACACAGTGAATGGTGTCACTGGCGACCCCTTTCCAAGGTTCCACAGCTCTGGCAACTGTCTATAGGCTCCACAAGTGTGTGTCGAATGGCTCAACCTTTCTCCAATGTACTTCAAAACCATGGGAAGATACTTTATCCTCTCACTGTACATCATGTCATAGGTAATTCCTTGTCTTTACCATCTTATCACATTGTGGTAATATTTAGTTATTTTCTAGCTACAAATGACTATGTATTCTATGGAAAATTTATAGGTTTACACTAAAGGATCCCCTGTCTTTTTTATACTCGTGGTTCTTGGTCCAGTGGTTATTCCGACTCATGACTGACCCTTAGAATCTAAACATAACTAGCACTTATTAAGGAATACTATAAAAAAGGTTTGTGTATAGAAATGACAATTACTTTGTACTTATTTGCTTGTTATTCACATAACAATGTAACTCTGTTAACGAGTATGCTCTTTCACAGGAACTGTGTGATTTTCTGCTCATTAAAGCCTCAAGTAAGGTCAAGCTGGTGTTTTATTACACACATATTGGCTGATGAATCAAATTTAAATGACTAAATGATGCTGAAACTCGTGTTATATAATATAATAAGCATGGCCGAATTTATATATTTTTCACGTTAGCTCAATAAAAACCAAGAAAGACTCTACCTTTAGTAATAGCAGCTGTTAGTGTTGTTTTCCCATGATCAACGTGCCCAATAGTACCAATGTTGCAGTGAGGCTTATCTCGTTGGTATATCCTCTTCTCAGCATAGTTGCGGGTCTGAACAAAGGCTGGAAAAACTCGTGATATGGCTAGACTGGCAAGGCTCCCATTCCGGCAATAATTAGCCTGCAGACTCTGTGAGAAACCTGAAAAGAATGAAATTAGGGTAATGTAAGAAAACACCGTTACCACCAGAAAAAGTTTATGGATTTTTTTTCACAAAATGTTCTTACCATTAAAATAAGTATTTTAAAAGAGGCGACATTTACTAATACCTAACCTAACCAAACAAAGAAACCTACCTTAACTTTACCTAATGCAAACCCCCTGCTATGTTAAACAAAAGGTACTTATTTTGATATCTGGTACCGATGGAAGCAACTTTTTTGAAGCATCATGGCATAATTTTACTTATTCTGTGAACATGGGAATACACTCGGACCGAGTGGGTCAATTGTAAACAAACAGGGCAGACAAAAACACACGCCAAATTGGCAGAGTTTATGGAGGAAGATTAATGGTAAATAATTTATTTCATGTACAAAGTGCACAGAGACATCATTTTAGTGTCATATGATCAGTTTTTCACCGTGTTTTACCCCACAATATCCCTTATCCTTCATACTCTGCCCAATATAGGTAATTTAAGGGTAAATTTGCACTTCCACCTCCCACTCTGTTAGAAAGTCAAAAATATATTTTTCTAGTGTATTTGTGTGTGTTTAGACCGAATATGACCTTCATTTCAGTCGGAAATTGGCCGGGTTTTTTTTATCAATTTTTTTTCGTGAGACGTTTTTCGAAGAAAAAATAATGGCGAAGCGAATAAAAAATAAACCAAAACACATTAGAAAAACAAAAACCAAACCTAACCTAACTGACTCTCACCATATGATGGAATCACCTATTTCTTACCTTATTGGGCTGGTTCTTGTTCGTTGTTGGATTCTGAGATTCTTACACAACGCCACATATGTTGGTCTTTGCGATATTTACATTCAGTCTTACACCTAGAACACTTTACTGAGGTTGGAAGAACACCATGCGATCAAAAAAATGCTATAGTTTCTTCGTTTTTCCCCAAAACTCGCAATCAGCTCCATATGAAGTGACACCCATCGCAGACTTCCATGGTGGGAAATGAATTTGAATTTGGAAATATGAGACCCAAAATAAAAATCGATTTTGATTGGGCCAAAAATACAGCGAATTAAACCATAAATCATATTAATTGGTTGCAAAAACAGAAAACGCTTTCGATTGGTCGCGTGACGTGTACGGGAACACATGTGCGTGATGATTTATGAAGGAGACACGCAGGAGACAAGCAGTGTGAGAGGTGAGGTAGGCGACAATGGCGGAAGATTAATGGAAGAAAATAGAGAAAATTTTGGATATGCTATCTCCGTTATTATACATTTGTGATGGTAATGTAATAGATGAAAATAATCTTATAATTAGACGTCTTATTAGAATATGATAATAGATTAGTGGTAGGAATGTGGAATGTGTAAACACAAAAATACCAATTTAAGATCAAAGATGAAGAAAAACTAAAATAAAAAATACTTAAAATTTGTATCATATTTATTACTTACTACAGTTAAGATCTGTTCTAACGTCCCCACCAGTTACTATAGAATGTTAATATTTGCCATTTGGACTTTAGATATACGTTACGTTACCTTTTGACATTCTTTGATAGTCATTATTTTGGAGGTAATGTTGAATTAATTATTTACCAAAAATGCTCATCTGAAAAATCTGCCACCGCATGTCGTATGTTTGTTTACAGTCGACCCACTTAGAACTGTTATGTCCACTAAAAACATAAAACTACACAAGTATATTTATGCCGGTGACAAAAACATTAGCCTCACAATTTAAGAAGATTCCACTCATGGTTTATTTTTTATTCTCAAGTTTCAGATAAGTACACCATTTATCCTCAGCCTAGTTACTATTTGTACTGGTCTACTAGTCCATGATAATTTAACTCACGAGAAGAAGACAAGGTGAGGAACACTCTACACGCTGCCATGTTGAGGCGTCGTCTGCGAGGCGGGCTAAATATTCAATGTTAAAATTTACCACGAACATTACTGCTACACTACCTTTAAACTTTCTTACCTTACATTTGTTAAATAAAGCATTTTAAGTTTGTACTGTAGCTTTTAAAAAACATATTTTATGATACGCATTTTTTATGGTACAGCGGTAGTGGGTAGTAGGCAGCTATCAAACAGTGAGGTACTACCACCTGCGATGATATAATTTTATCCTCTTCACCACTGATCGGCTCGTTAGCCGCCCGGGCGATCGGTCACGTCTCTGTCACGCACTGTTGGCAAGTACTGGGCATGCACCGGCTCCTGAATGCACCTGAACCTGCTCGTGTTGGTCCAATTTGGTCTTGAAAGAGCTAATCACAATAATAATAAAAAAATATCCCGGACATAACACTGGATAGACCAACCACCCGAACGGTTAATTAGTGGTTAAATAATAAATAAATAACTTATTTACCATTAACTAATAAAACAAACTCCAATACATAAGTTTAAAAATACAATCTGCAGCAACTTAAAATAAATAACAATTGAAGAAATTAATTGTTCAGTGTTGTCCGGTTTAAAAAACATAAATTCAACACTGTTCGTGGTATCTTTCCAGCATTGGCCGCTTTACTGTAGAGTATTGTACACTGTTATTTACAAGGGTTATTTAATTTTGTTATATTTGATTACACATTTAAGACACGTACTTGTGTATATATATATATATATATATATATATATATATATATATATATATATATATATATATATATATATATATATGATCAGCATATACCTAGATCACGCGCATACAGTGATTTACTTGCATATATATATATATATATATATATATATATATATATATATATATATATATATATATATATATATATATATATGAGAACTCAGGAAATTAAATCATCACTTACCGTAAGTGCTCAGTATGAGCAAATTTATATGGTTGACATTGCTTAGACCTCCCATGCACTTTTCTTGGAATTTAGTTGTACAGTACAGTACAATATATGAAAATTTAATTTTTGCAAGACCAGCTGCTGATTAGTGATACTGTATTGGTTTGTGTAAAGGAACAGGAAATCAGAATGATTTTTTGGGCCTTGTTCTGGAAGTAACATTGCAAAATGCTGATAAAAAAAGGAATAGAAAAACAAATTTTATAAAAAAAAATTATATTAACACAAAACATATTAGTCCACAGCAGTTCAATAGAACTATTAGTCTTTATATACAAAATTGTGAATTTGAATAAAGTTATATTTTGTGGTTTTAACTGAACCACACTCATCTCCAAGGATGTAAACTTTAAAACAAATTATTATTCCGTTTGGACTGGACAAGCTGTAATATCTGAATAAAGTACAGTACTGTATCTAATAAACACAATCACCTCATTTACATACATGCACCTCCTCCCCCTTCTGTGTGAGTTGGTGATCATACTGTATGCACACCAAGCATAAGGGCAGCCAACTCCCAAATGGAAATAGTGCTAGCTCTCTTGCCAAAGATAGTTAATATAAACCTGCCTCCAATATTTAACAGGTACAGTTGTGGCAGTGATAAAAGCTTCTATTTACATAGTCATTCATCAAGACTGGTAAACATAATTCCATACTAATAATTCATACATCCTGTTGAATTCTCCTCCTGAAGTATTCTTTAACAATCGTAACTGGATTCCACGCCAAATTTATAAATCATGGTAATGTTACAGCAACACTGACACCAGAGTAAACAAAAACACAGTTGGTTGAAATTAGTGTATACAGAACTAATAAACATTCTTGGTAATGAAATTACTTACAAAAGCTACAAGCATTATAACCCACTTCTTTCACAATATGGGGAAATTTAAGTGAAACAGAGTTGATAGCAAGTAATGTCACAATATTACTACAATATAACATAAGGTTAAATATCATCACATTATTATGGAACCAACAGTCTTCTGATCCTGGTAATGGCAGCAGCCAGGAAGGCAACATGTCCTGTGGCAGCAGAATACTCTTCGTGAACTTTCTGCAAGCGTGGTAGAACCTCCTGTAAGGCTGTACATGCCTGTTTCCGCAGACTGTCAACATCAGAGGGAGTTAAAGTACGAGGAACCCCAACTTCCCAGCCCGTAAGATTGTCTTGTGCTGGACCTGGGGCTGATGGTGCATGACATATGAAGTACTCCAGATGTCTCCAAAGAAGGAATGCAGCAGACTCAGCAGCATGAACAGCAAGTTGCTCCTGACGTCGGTGCAAGGCTACAACTTGAATGAGGTGTTCCTCAGCCAATCTCCGAACAGCTGCAGGTGAGGCAGCATCAGCCAGAGCACTACTCACATACTGACGGAGGTGCTCAACTGGCTGATTACCTTCCAATGCTTGTAAGCAAGCAGTTGCAGTTTCACATGCACTTCTGGCCAAAGTAAAATGATGACTGACTTGACTTGCACACTCCACCAATGTGGCTAACGATAGTGGCCGTCCTACAGCTCCTGTGGGTATTCCATTATCCATGGATGCTCGAAACACTAGTGTAATATCACGAGTGTCAGTCCCCCCATGAATGAGACGAGCTGTGGCATAATTTAGAACTGCAGCTAGAGTGGTTAGAGTTGCAGTACGAGCCATTTCCCTTACATTGACACCTTCCTCATTCTCCGGCAGTGTGTCCAGGGCAGCAGCCAAACGGCTCTGTGGTAGGACATGTGGCAACAAAGCTATAAGTAACTGTTGGAGTCGTGTTGCTTGTGCCCCAGACTCTAACTCAGAAGGATCTGTAGCTGTTATGGGACCAGGAGGAGCAGCACCTGCAACAGCTGCTGACAAGAGAGCTACTTCCTCTAGGCCCTGTAGCGATGGAACACCTGGAACACAGAGACCAGATGCAAGGGCCTCACCATGTGCACCTAAAAATCTTAATAGATGGGCAGTAGCAGAATAATTGTCACTTCCTAATGATGTCAAGATTGCTAAGTAAACTCTTAGAGCTGCCATCAACACAGTTCGATACCGCTGTACTGCGCTAGGAAGAAATTCTTCATTGCTGGCAGACTGCATGGGTTGAACTGGACGATAATCTAAGGCAGTTAATTCTGACAAACGTGTAGTAAGCCCAGACTGTAATAGTTGTTGTGCTCCAGAGGGAGAGAGTGCCAAACGAGCTAATAAAGACATACGGGCTTCATATACATACAGGGGCCGTAAATCATCATCATCGGCAGTTAACAGAGAGAGCAACTGCCGATCATCTGTTCTTAAAGCATCGAGAAGGCGGCGTAAGTGTCCATGGTCAGTAAGATGTGACAGTAGCAGAGAGTCATTGGTGAGTGGAGCAGCACGTTGTTCCAGAGCAGCAAGGGCACTGAGACATGTCAGGGCTAACACCTGACAAACATGGTGACCCCCTCCTGCCTCCACTGCTAGAACATCAACCAACTGTGGGAGTTCTTCACGCACAACTTCATAATTCTCTCGGTGAAACTGCTCCTCTTGAGTTTCACGTGGGGCCAATAACAGAGACTGAAGACCGTCTGTATCCTCACCCGTTTTATCTATGGGATCAGCTCGTATTTGCAGGTAATTCAGAAGAGCAGCATATATGGAAGCACGAACTCCTTGGCTACACTGTTTGAATCGTGCCACACATTCAACAAGTCCACGCAGAACAAGTTGTAATGATGATGGAAATTCTGCCTGAACTGCAGGATTACCACTATCTAACATGGAAACATACTGAGGATGGTGATGAGCTGGTCTTGCATGGAGAGTTCGCAAAGTGGTTACTAACATAAGCAATGTTGATACCAACTGTGTGGTTAGAGAAGAGAGTGCAGATTCATCCAGAAGACGACGAGCCAGATCATGGGTAAGTGTATGGAGGAAGGTATGGTGGGTGGCAGTTTCTATAAGATCTGGGGGGGTGACAGCTACAACAACTTCTACTACTTGTCTCCAGCCCTCCAAGAAGTGCCTATGTGCAAATAACAGTCCTCTTGTTTGGTTCATCATTAGAGCATGACCCATCACCAACTCCAGTTCCTCTTGTAATGGATCACGCTGAGTTATAGAAGTCCCTGAACCTCCCTCTTGTAGTAGAGCAGTCAACTGTTGATGTAGTAATTTAAGGTTAACTACAGGGCCTTCAGGAGAGGGGCTCTCACAATTACTAATGAGCTCCGATGCCCTTGTGAAGTACTCACATTGTAAAGGTGCTGGGAAATCAATATTGAGGTCAATGGCATCTAGTAAGGTGAGAAGTGGGCCACGTCCACCACTGATTCCACCAGCCCAGCCCTGAGAAACATCCAAGGGTTCTTGCTGAGGCAGTTCTGCTCCTGCTACAAGTAAATGAATCAGGCGTGCTAATTGTGATCTTTGCTGGTGTGTTGCATGGTAGCGTAGTTCTAAGGCTACACAACGTAAAACCCACCCTTGAGATAAAAGACGAAGCCTCGAGTCGGTGTGTGGGAGACCCATGGTAGCAGCTGTGCGATACAATAGATCTTCAGAAGACCTTAGATAACGCAGTGTGGGTGCTGACATATTGGTGTCACTGCATAATTCATAAATAAGTCGATATGAAACTTCAGATAGACTTGGTGGGCATGAGGGTAAAGATGCAAGTGCAGCATGTAATGCTGTTCGAGGGTACCCACGTGCTCCAGCACCTAATAAATCAGATCGCAAAGTTGTCATGCCATCAGATGTATAACCAAGCAAAAACTGGGCTACATTTGGTGTTGGAAGTGGAAGGTATTTTAGGAGCAAATTTAAAGCTGCATCAGCAGCATCCAAATGTTCTGGAATATCCAATGCAGCATGATCTATCACTTCCACAAAGCTGTGCCTAACTGCAGAGGCAGTCGTTGCAGAAGCAGTGATTAAAGAAAACATGTGGGTCTGAGAACTTGGTCTTGCAGCGGACGAGGCCAAGAGGCGACAAGCCAAGGCAGCATGGCAAGGCATTTCTTGATGGTGGCCCACCAAACGTACTACATTCAAAAGGTGATCACTGACCCCAGTATGGACATTAATACCCATAAGTAAACGCTCCACACCTAGCACTACTTCTGGGTTAGTTGATGTTCCGAGTACTAAGTGTTGTTGTTCCTGTGCTCCCAGTAAGAGTTGCAACACCAGTAGCAAACTAGCATGAAGATCTTTTTGTCCAGGTACTTCTTTGAATTGTTCCAATATTTGAACTCCATCGTGTAACACTGACAGCACTTGCTTCACTAGTTGTGACTCCTGAACTAAATCTAAAAGTATTGATCGGCCTGGTGACTGTGTAGATCTCTGTTCCACTGGTGCTGTGGCTACATGGAGTTGTTCAGTTAACAGTTGATGAAGAAGTTCTAGGCAGCCACGAGCAATAGCCCAACGTTCGCCGGCATCCCGATAAGTGCGAGAATCGTGGCGCAAGAATATTCGATCTCTCACCAAATCAAGGTAAGGACGAAATCCTGGCTGTCGGGTTGCAGCACCAAGCATTGGAGGAATGCCAGCACGTACCAAAGTGCCTAACAATTTGAGAATTGCCCTAGTCAGAGTAAATTCCTCCCTGCTGCTCTCTACTTCTTCTATGTCAACAAGTAAACCACGAGGTTGGTAGCCTGCAACACCCTCCTGAACAGGAATCAACCCACCTCCTTCTATCAATTCCCACACTCGCTGAGCCAATGCTGGGGTACCACTAAATGCAGCAAGTGTGTTCACAAGTTCTACCTTAAGTGCTAGAGGTACAGCACAAGTTAGCAAGCCAGTGCACACATACAGTGGTGCCCAAGCAGCATTATCACACAGAGCCACACGAGATAATTCATCCTTTTCAGCTACCACAGTTAGTAACTGAAGCACAGCCAGGAGCCCCTGCACCTCCTGGGGGGTGATGCCTCGTGGTGTCCCTCGTGCTCGGTACATAGTATCCATTGCTCCAGGCTCTTCAATTCTCAGGTTGTTGTAATACTGGGTTAAAGCAGTCATAAAATGCTCCCATGCTAGATTGCTACCCTGAGACAATGGCTGACTATTCATCCTTAAGAAGTTGTAAACAAACTGTGCAGATCGTGGAGTTGTGGCTAAACTAGTTAGCAGATTGACATATGGCACAAACAGCGAAGGAGGCAAGTAATCTCCAGGAAGTCGCACAAATTTGAAAAGAGCCATTTGACGAGTTCCTTGCCCACGGTACTGCAAGGAAGCCATGGGAAGGATCTCACTAGGGCACCAGTAATCTTCCACCAGTTCACCACACTGTCCATCTTGGTATAAAGCTGCCAAACAAGTCAGAAGTTCCTCAAATGGCTGATCAAGGTTTGGTGGAGGCTGTAGACTTTCTCGTAGGTTTGCTGTGATAAGTCTGGAGTTTTCATCTGCTCTGTTCTTCATGGCCTTAACCCGCTCAGGGAAATTAATTATGAAGTCAGAGAAGATTGCATGAAGACGTTGGCAGTAGAAGGAGTCAAGTGAAGCATTCTTCTTGGAAAGTATAGAATTCTGGATAAAAGAAAATACTTTACCCTTGAGAGCATCATCTAGGACAGCATCATCTTCCTCTAGTACAGCATCAATATCTGCTAACTGAGTAGCAACAGCAACTTGTCTTAAGTTAGCAAGGCTGACAATCCATGCTAGCTGCACTATAGCTTTTAAGCCCGGAGTTTCCCAAGCTTGATCAGACCTTATTTCACGGTGAATTTCTTGTACAAATGTTCGGTCACTTGTGATAGGAAACTGAGTAAGAGCTTCTGTCATGTCTTCTGATGTCAGTAAGTGTCCTGCCTCTAAACTATAAAGCAGGGCCATAAGTAGAGATAAATTAACAGGATCTAGAGAGCCATCACTCGTCTCTGTTAACTTTACCTTTGACATGTATGCTACAAGGCGGCGACATTCGTCCTTTTTTAAGGGGGTCTGAGCAGCCCAACAAAAAAGAGTCTCGGACAACAAACTGCGCACCGCCTGAAACTTATCTAACACCATCTTCCTATGCTTAGCATCCCCAAGAGCACGGTTCTGTTGCAATAACTCAATTTCTTTTGTGATATCCATTGAGGTGATAAGCTCCAGAATCCTATCCACAAGGCTTATGTTAAGAATGGGTTCCAGGTACCTTGTAATATTCTGAGACAGTTCTTCATTATCTGGGAGGAGAACCCATGAAATTCCTTGACGCGCCTGAACCAGTGTCTTCAGGGCATGAGCCAAATTCACCCGACTATCATAATAAAATAAAATAGCAATCAAACCCCTCGGGGTACCAGGGTAAAGCGTGGATTCTTCCTCTGCCGATCGCAACAGTGACATTGCCGTCATTTCACTCATGTTGAACATGTCAGCAATAATGATGGCTTCCTTCACAAACGAGTCAGACAATTTGGTTGGACCTGCATGACTTGGCAAGGTCACAGGTTCAGTGACAGAGCGCTGCAGTGTAGACCTGTAAAAAAAAAAATCTTACGTAAGAATACATACAAATGCTGTAATTAATATATATATATATATATATAGTGATCTAATCAGACAAAAATTCATAGACAGAACACACAGCTAGGCATGAAGGATGAGGTACTATGGAAGAGACAGTCTGTCAACAAGGAAGAGACCTTTACCTTTGACCCATGTGACCACCAACCGTGACCCCACTTGGATTTACCCAACCCTAGTTAATTCCCAAGTGACCCACTGCCACATAGCAGCAAATCCATCAAACAGACCAAGCCGAACTTGACTGGTAAACTCACACGTCAAAATGTTTATATTGTTGACTATACGGTACAGTACTTATCTCACTGTTACATTTTCGTAGTTACTTACTCTTAGGTGATGAAACAGCAATGAATTGTGTGAAGATTATTCTTTTAATAAATATTGCTTTACTCACCATAAACTGGCTGTACCTACCTGAACCGCAGGCCACATTAAATAGTTTCTCAATCACTCCTCGGGCTGCACTAAGACATGGTTCAGGCCGCAGGTTACCCATGCCTAGGTTAAACAACTACCCTATTTATCAATTGCATTTCAATTTACATGGAGAGTAATGAAAGCACTATTATCCTTTCCTTTTTAAACAATTGCATGATGTACCCATAGATAATTAATTGTTAAATTTCCTATTGTTAAAATTTTCTCATGAGGTGTAGCTATCAAGCACCCCTCAAAGCAAGCTTCTAATACTGTACAGCCAACACATACACTCAGTACATTGTTCAGTGTCCAAAGCATCTCCACATCAACTTCCAAACTCTAGTTGTTTCTTAGTTAAGCTAATATAGCACTGTACAACAATCTATTATACTGTACAGTATAATACAATTAAATAAGAACTTAGCCCATGTTTGATTAAATTTTAAAGTCTCTTTATTTATAAGTCAACAATAAATTCATCAATTTAATGACTTTGGACTTGGTTCAACTAATGAAAGAACTTGATTATAGTATAACCACTGTATAGGTTTTCATGCGTGTAACATGTATGAAATCCTGCACTGGACTCTAAAACTAGACGTTTCATTAATTAGTTGGTCATATTCCAATAAAAAAACTTTTTAAGAAAAACTCATATGAGTACATGACCATTTAAATTCAGATTTTTCTTCTACAGTATACAATGAAACTGATTGCCTGAAACTTAGCCACTGATAAACACATGAATACGTACATCTCTTTGATTACAGTATTTGCCAAAATGTATAACTATGAAGAAAAACTATGAAGAGTCACATTCACACATTCAAGAGAAGTTACAGCAATACTAAAAGCATTGACTTAATTTTCAAACTTTTACAGGCCTAATCCTTACTGTTAAGATACATAATCTGAAACTTTTCAAAACTTATCAAATACAGGTGAGAAAATTACTGGTACACTGATCAGCATTAAACAATCCAATTGGCTACTGTACATAACAATGTACAGATCAGCAAGTAAACCAAATCTACTTAAATCTCCATAAAAAAATTAGAAACAAATCCCCAAAGATACAATAAAGCTAACCTCTCATTTGCATTTTTTGGTGGATTGCGCAGGAGGGAGATGAATGTGGTGCGATGTCGTTGCAGAGCCAGTTCTAGGTCGTGTCCTGCTTCAAGAGCAACAGGTGTGCCACCACTTGAGGCACTCGTCTCCACTGCTCGCTGCACTGCCTGTGCCAAGGACACCATTGATGCCCACATTCCTTTATCTAAAAATACAATGACAAGTTGGTAAAGGATATTTGTCAAAGATATGACATAAGGTGTACAGGTATTCCTCTCTTAATGAATGGGTTAGGTTCCTGGAAAACCATCGTTACGTGAATTTTCATATCTCAAATAACAAGGGTAAGGTCAAGTTCTGTTAGGTTCTGTGTATACTGTATTCTCGTTTTCCCTTTTTGTGTTTAACATCATTCAACTAGTATTTCCATAAATTCTGGCTCATTTCCATAAATTATTTATACCGCTAACTGTGTTCTCCACCTTTACCCTCAAATTTAATAAAACAGGATGACGAAATTCTTAGGTAATACTGAAGGAGGTGGCTAACACCAGAATTTGTTCAATTTCATTATTTTTTTCCACAAATGTTCTTATTATAGTAAGCATTTTAAAAGAGGTAACAACTTTTTTTTTAATTGTAAGTTTTCTTTTCTCTCTCTATGATCATAAATCACTTGCAGTGGGCATGAAGGATGAGGAAAATTGTGGGGTAAAACATGGTGAAAACTGATCATATGACACTAAAAGTATGTCTCTATGTGCTTTGTACGTCTATTTGTTTACAACTGACGTTTCCTTGGTTAGGTCAGGTTCTATTAAGATCTAGTAAATGTCGCAGTTAATATTCATTTTTATCCCAATAGGTTAGGTTAGGAACGGCTCATTTTTGCAAGAAACGAATGTCATACTCAATCAAAGAACGTCAAAATATGCTAGAAAAATAATCTCATACCAATTGGGATAAACGCAAACCTTCACCAAACAAAATTTTACCAATGCCTTCTGGTGTTAGCCATCTCCACCAGGATTACCAATTCTTAAGTAACAAAAAACAAATCAACCGCCCTAACAGCTGACAGGTGGTGAAATGATTAGTTGACCCTAGCGGCGGCCGGCATGTTAAACTTGTGCTCGTTTATGTTGGTTTAACATTTCATTACCAATCTCTTTCACAATACGAAGCTTATTCCATAAGTCTATCATTCACGTCTGAAACTCTTAATCTATAACGTTTTTGTGTTATTTATGAGTTCTTAATCATATCCTGCCAACTCTCACGTTGGGTAGCACTTTACTTTTCTTAATATAACTTAAACAATACCCTTTTTACTTCATAAAATTGACCCTCAAAGTGTATAACAGCGATTCATCCTAGTTATACTTACTTGTGGCAGTCATCTTGAGGTTTATTTGAGCATTTCAGTTCGAAGACAGACTGAGCCAGGCGGCGGGAAGCAGCGGGAGGCAGCACCAAGTTTGTAAACAAGAACAAGTGAACATCTTCATCCGTTACTAACGGTATATAACTACCTACTTACTTATTTATATATATATATATATATATATATATATATATATATATATATATATATATATATTTATTTATTTATTTATTTATTTACAGGTAGTAGGTAGTACTAGTAGGCAGCTATCAAACAGGGAGATACAGAAAAAATTACAATAGGAATATATGGCACCGGAATAAAGTCATAATCATCAGACTAGGAAAAAATGGCACATTAATTTTTATTGACATGTTTTCACTAAAATTTTATAACGTTTGTTACTGAAACGAGGCTGATTGGCGCTTTGGTGATGAATCAGTCGCTTGCAGTGTTCTTGGGAGACGAAATGAGCATGGCCTCAGGTTCCATGGCTAAAGCAGTTTTGGCATATATTGGACCAGGTTTATCTTGGGTAGTCTTTGCCATGGTTTTCATTTGGGTTTGCATTTGCCTGCTTCAACAGCATTCTGGTTCGCATCATGGTTGTGATCCTTGACTGACTGTGGATATTCATTATCAACAGATGTGACTAGGCACCTTTGCATGAGTGCGTCCGCTTGACACATCTCCAACGGATCACTTCACCCCGGGACCACTGTATGGTGTACAGTATATGTAGCCACTGTCAATCGGTTGAAAATGTTCAAAGGAGGGCCACCAGACTGGTGCCTGCACTGGTGCCTGCACTTCGGCACCTCAGCTACCCTGAGAGATTGGAGCGCCTGAACTTGCCTAGCTTATACTACAGACGGCCAAGGGGGGACCTAATCGAGGTGTATAAGCATCTCAAGGGGCACTACTCAGTCGAGTGACCTTACTTGGAGATGGCGGACGCTCGCTCCACAAGGGGTCACAGCTCAAGGCTGAAGAAGCCACAATTCCGGTAAAATCTAACGGCAAACTTTCTTGGAGTAAGAATTGTGAACTCTTGGAACAATCTGCCAGTGTGTGTTGTAACAGCACCGAGTGTGAGCTCTTTAAAGACCAGCCTTGACCAACACTGGAGCAGGTTCAGGTACATTCAGAAGCCAGTGCATGCTCAGTACTTGCCCATCAGTGTGTAACAGACATGACTGACCACCTAAGCGGCAGACGAGCCGATCAGCGGCGAAGAGTATAAAAGTAAAAGAATGATGGTCTGTGATTGGTCCAGCAGCGTTTACTTGGCTGGTCCGATAGCCAATCAGCATGTGGATCAGGAGAGTGCTTGATCATGATCTTGCCCGTGGTTTGCTAAATGCTGATGCCCAATCAATGTGTGAATCAGGAGAGTGCTTGATCGAGTTTTTGTAGGGGTATCCCCTACAGCAGCGCCGTAGGAGGCCCCACTCCACAGGATGCCATTGGAGCACCCCTCTGGATGTTATGCATTTTTTAATGTTTTCTAGTCTTATTCTCCAGTTGGTTGTCTGACCTAAACAGCTTTCATGGCTGTGGGATACTATATTTGGGACTGCTTTTTATGGGTTGCCAAACCAGGTTTATTCTACTTGCAACCTCGGGGAGGCTCATTTTGCTCTCTGTTAACGGTTTATCCTCATCATCCCCTCACACACCCTTGAAGGGTAGATGTTTTCATGCTAATTCCTCATCTTCCATGGAGGAGTTGGTGTTCCTTCCCATTACCCTCTTCTCTATTCCCAGGAAGTTGGCATCCTACCCCACCCTCATCAGCTTCCAGTTTCATGGATGTTGGTTTCCTTCCCACCTCTTTCTCTTGCCACTCTTTGTAGGTGGTCACCAGCACATAATCCTTGGCCCTTGGTTGTGCAATTCACAATGGTAACCTAGCTATCATTTGGAATTTTAAAATACTCTTAACAATCTTCCCATTAAGGTTTGGGGTTTTGATGCCATGTGCACTTAATAATAGGAGATTTTCCCGAGGTCAATAGTAATTACTTTTTGCTTTATAAAAATGCCAGAGTACAATACTACTACATTAAAGAAAGTACAGTATTGGAATTTTCTAATGAAATGGGGAGTCTGGACCCCTGGATCCGCCCTTGGGTAAGGAATAAATGTAAGCTTTTGCACTACTGAATTCTGTACAACTTTTGTGAGGTCTTCCTATGAAGAACTAAGGCAACAATGTGTCAACGAGGGTGACGATTGAACAGGACACCTATCCTCAGAGATTCCTCAGCCATTGTTAAGAGAAGAAGTCCATCAAAAAATTTTACTTCAGATCACAAACACTACAGTAAGGGTAGTCTCACCCAAAAGTTCTCTAACTCTCCCAGCCAGCTATTACTGCACTGCCTGCTTCAGATGTTTGAAACGTTCTTGGTACCAACCAGAACATAAAACCGATATGAATGAATCTATAAGTTTGAAGTAACAGACTCGAGTTCATACATCTGAAGCAGGCAGGGAGGCAATAGCTGGCTGGGAGTTAATGAACTTTTGGGCGAGACTATCATCTAATGAAGTCACTTGTTGATTGATAGTACCCAATGACCTCGCTCAATGATTGGTACATTCACAGTTAGGTGCAAATACATGCAATATTTGCACAATCGGGTGCTAATATTGTACCCTCTTTGTCGAGATTTTCAAAACTGGGATAGAGGAGATGAAAGTAAGGAAGAAAGCAAGGCAATTGATCTTTGCAGATAACTGCTCTGCTGAAGTGTTGGTCAAGCCTGGTCTTGCAAGAGCTAAATGGCTACCTAACTTTATGGTTGAAGATAGTTAATAACAGTGCCAGGCACATTGCCTCCTTGTGTACTTGAGGCTAAGTGTACACACTACTGTAATAACACTGCTCATAATACTGTACTTTCAAATACCCTGACAAGCAATTTAGGAGAATGGTTACAAATGTTCGTTGAAAGTTTGTAATGTGTGCGAGGAATAAATTAATAATGAAAGAACAAAAGTGGTTACAAACCAAGAATCTAAATGTGAAAAAAATGGTTTGGCATATTGTTTGTACCAGTGCAGGATTTAGACCTGTGGAGGCCCCCCCCCTCATTATAACTACCCAAGAGGGTGGGGTGGCGAGTGAAGCGAGCCAAAACATCTGGGAGTTCCAGGGGGGCTTACAGAGCCCCCCGGAAAATTTTTATAAATTTGAACACTTCTTTGGAGAAATTTGAAGCCATATGCAGTTATATTGAGGAAATTAGAACATTGAGAAATTTTTAATTAACTGTATATTTATTGATAGTGTACAAATTCCCAACACACACAAAAGTGAGACATGACTGGAGTAATTCATGTGGTTTCAAGTCGACCAGCCCTGATTGTGGAGGCCCCTGGGCAGCTGCCCACTTTGCCCACTCCTGAATCCGGCCCTGGTTTGTACAGTAATTGGGAAAACCTTCCATCATTATTGACAGGTTTCTGGAGGAAACCAAGAATACTTGCAATTACTGTACTAATCCAGTTATTCAGCAAGTCTGAAAAAATCCCAACAGCATTTGTGCAATCTTGTTGATGCAGCTCATATCCTTCCAAACTAACTGTACAGTGCAAGATAGTAGCATCTGCCTCCAGAAATGAGAGCGCTTCATGTAGCACAGTACACAAATGTAACACTAAGTTTACGAAGATGCTAATTCGTAAACAAGCTTCGTATACCCAGGCAAGTAAGTAGTACATTCAACAAGGTGCTAAAAACCAATAAAGAAGATTCATTAGTACAATATATAATAAAGTAAAAAAACATTTCCATCTCAAGACATAAAAGGTTACATTTTGATATACTGTACAAGTGTATATGACCAAACCCATAAGTATTCACAGCAGAAATTATCTGATGAAGCCAACAAAAGTGCCAAAGCCACTTTCCACAAAAGATTCCCGAGACTAGCAAAGTTGTGTACCTGCGGTCTACATGCAATGGCTGCAGCAACTTATTGCAGATACAATTTTTTGAGGGAAAAATCAAATGCTTAAATAGAATTAAACATGGTTTTATTAAATGCAACTACTCAACTTTTGTCCAGTGCATTATCAAATATACTTTATCATAACTCATCAAAATTGTTGGACGAATAGATTAGCAGTGAAATGCCATTCCTCTCATCATTTTATTAGGGAATTCAAACACAAGTTTTCACAAATGAGGAGCAAGGTCATTTGTTTTTTATGGCAGAGTAAATCAGTAACTGCCTATGGCTATTGTACTTTGAATAATATTAGCAATTTCATCTACAGGTACTGTACTAAATTTTGGTTAACAACCAATCTACCAGTAGTCATGGTTGGTCATGTGACATACCCTGTGTCCTTAATACCTGCAGCTCATTTTTCATCTTGCTAGTCCAGTTGTCAAGAGCATTTAATAATGAATACACTGGGGACAAATTATTCAAGACCTTAGTTCGAATTTACTAAAGGTCTTTGGGATACAAAAAGACATCTATCAGGAGTGAGAAATCATTTACAGTATTAAAAATCCAGTCATTTCTAAAAAAAAAATTGATATGCTCAAATAAAAAAAGATTTATTTGTAACAAACGGCTGTTAATGCTTCCTAAATATCCAGAAATGGATTAAAAATAAATAAAATTTTACGAGTCTGGTCTAATCTGATGTAACTAATTAAATACAGTACAAATGTTAATTTTATGAGCTTTAGTGAATAGCAGTACTGTACCCCATAAATATCACATTACTATACCCTTATAATTTTTTTAACATGCTATTAGTATATCCAAATGCCCAACACAAGCTTTAAAATCATGGTTCCAAAGGAAAAAATAAAATTACAACATGAAGAGGCTTCCGAGAGAGTAAAAAATCATGTACTGTACATTAGTTCTTACCACATTGGGAAACTTAACACTGCCTTGTATTTCTCATCTCCAAAAGTAATTAGAACTAAATTTTTTAGGACAACTCATACATACTCTCACTATCAGACAAAATCTCTAAAAATAATTACTGTATGATACTACTGGCGACAAATATTTCCAAGAATAGACACTGCTAACTGCTATACATTACTCATGGAAGGAATGACTGCCGTTACTATGCAGCACAGTACAAAAAAGGCAATATGGTAGTATTGTACAAATAGAACATTACAAGAACAGCCTAGCCAGTCTTAATTCTTAAATATACCATATAGTATCCTATGAATTAATAGTTTAGGGTTTACAAGTGCAAATAGTAACAAGAAATGTACTATCAAATAAATATTCAAAAACTTACAGAATCGGGAATCATTCTTATCAAGATTGTATGACAGCATTTTTTTTTCTTGCTATGTGCATGAATAGAAAATTTGTCAAATACTGCACCAAAAACCTAGGTTCCCTCAAAAACTAATGAGATTGATGGACGAAGTATTTCAATCCCCTTTTCCCATTGACGGGGGTCTATTTCAACCCATGTTTGTAAAAAAAAATAAGTCACTAAGGACACTGCACTTGTGTTGGGGAGGTGTGGCAGTAAAATAAAAAATTCCAGCAAAATTATTTATAATACATTGCAATTAGTTCATTTTATGCCAAACCTCCCTGGCAAGCACTGTAGCGTGGTGTCCTTCGAGACTATTTTTTTAAAAACCCAGCTTGAAGCACTACAACCCGTCAATGGTAAGAGGGCTATTAAAACTCCAGCTGTAAGACCATCATAGAACTACTCGGTACAACTTATTACTCAAGCCGTAGAAGTGTAAATTCTTTGATTATTCAACTCCTATTACAGTATATTAAAGCTTCACATTTTTTATGAGGAACAAATACCACAATACAGTATCTATACTGTACTGTATTGGTATAATAATTGTGACATTAAAAACAAAGACAAACAATACACCAAAAGAACGGGAAGGAAGAGGCAATATAGTAACCTTCTGTGCACAAGCATGTATGTAAAACATTAAATCAAGACCAATGAGAACTTTTGATTTTATTATTAATAGATTCTTGACCCTTGTGGTGATAAAGATTGTAAATTTCTTTCTCCCTTATAGAAACTCTTCATTATTCTCTCAATATTTGTAGCAATTCTATTATTAAAGCTTCCATGCACTTCCTGTGGCGAATTCAAAAGTAATTCTTTTGCAACTTTTTATCCGCTTTCCTTCCTTTTGTACAATTGAAATAGACGGGAGCTCTTTAAAATTCCTTTGGCATTTTTTTCTTTTTCTATGTAACCTATACAGTCAGGTCATATTGCCATATCACAAAGATGCTGTATTTCATAGGTATATTTTGGGGAAATAACATGCAGTACAATACATTAATTTTGAGAGAATTATTGTGAACGAGTGTGTTTGCCAGCGATTCTTAAGAAAATTAAGTTTGTTTCTGGTCAGTAGTTGTGCAGTACTAGAGATGGTCAATAATAGTAAACTAGTTATGTAATGCAGTACAGTATTGTAATAGACTAGCAACTAATGATATTTTCTTTAGATTAATATTTTTATTCGATACAGTATGAAATTTTTGCAACGTAGGTTTCGGAATTTCTGAAATTTTTTATATTATTCAAACTGTACATTAATAAAGTAGTTTGTTTATCTAAATCAGTGGTTACCAACCACAGGTCACGTGGGGTGTCCTCAGTAGGGTCGCGAGGGGCCTTCAGACAATTTTTAAAATCTAGTACTTATCACAGTCAAACAAATTTTTGCTTATCATTCAAGCTATATAATATCTTATATGCTTGAAGGTCACGACACCGTATTGTTGGGAAATTTAGGGTCGCAACCAAAAAAGGTTGGGAACCACTGAATTATTCTAAACGACTTATGATAATTTACTTAAATGAAAATTATTTTATTTTTTTAATAGGTATGAAGTCTATTTTTTATGTAGAGTATGGAGAGGAATGTGATACCGTTATCTTTTGTATTTAAGTCGCCTTAAAAAAAATCTGCTAAGGAGTCCATTAGTGGCAAAGCGGATAAAGTACTAAATAATAATGTACAAAGGCTATAAAAACCTTCACATTCCTTCACTCAAGTTCCACAAATATACATGAATGGAAAATTTATAAGCTTACACAGATCAGTATTAAAAAATAATCTTCTGGTGATCTAACAAAACTGCTGTAAATATCTAAGATACAGATTTATTCACCTATAACTACCAATATCAGTAAATTTCTGTGTTAGTACAGCTAGTTGAAATTCACACCATCTTCTGTAAATAAAGTAATCTTACTATCGTCATTCTTTATCCATTTCAAAATTTTCTATTTTAGACAATCAATGTTGATGTGGACCATCTTGAGTCTTGCATTGCCACTTAACCCCTCTGGTGATTATTGCTTCCTATGTCTATGCACGACTAAGGAGACTAAGTGGCCAAACCTCGAGTGATGTAAAAAAAAAAAAAAAAATAAGCACCATAGCATTCAGTCAATACTCTCACTCACTGACCTTACGTGGGGATTGCATCATAACTGAACAATTGTCAAAAGTTAAATTCATTACTACTACTATTCCATCAAAACTTGAAGTATTGTTCCTTCAAGACTCTTTAAGAAACAGTAATACAGCAAGAACAAAAAGTATAGCCCTAAAATTACTGTACTATTAGAATAAAAGAATTATTAAAATTATGTAGACCATTTAATATTGAATTCTCATCCCAGTTATAGCATGTATCAGCTCTTACGGTACATTTACAGTGATTAATGTGTCCTGCCCCATCATTGTCTCCTCCCAAAAGTTAGTGGCAGCAACAGCAGCAATTGTTGGAGCCAAGTAAAGTACTGTATACACAACCAGGTGATGAGTGCAGGATAGTTAGTTGATGTGGATGACTAGATGGTATAGCCAAAGCTGCATCCACTGTGGGTCTTGAATAGGAGATGCAAATGTACCCAAGACAATGATGATCCCTCCCTAGGCAGTATAGCCGCAGTTGGTGCACTTAGGCTCGCGACAGCAGCAGCAATATGCAATGATGCCAGGGACAATACCAAAAGGCAGCAAAAGACAGCAGGTGATCCATGTGCAACAAGATGCACTGTTCTTTATCTTCCCTTTCTGTTGGAAAATACAATCATTAGCTCATACAATTTATTTTGTATAAATAAAAAGCACCCCTACAAGTCAATTAACTTGGATCAGTGGCACAACTAGGCCTGTGCAGAAGTGGCTGGAGGAAACTCAGTGAGCTATTGTTTTACTGAGGATGGGAAGAGGACTTTCCCTCCAAGTGATATGAAGAATATAGGTGGCTGGTGCGAGAAGTGTTATACATGGCAGTAAACAGGTAGTTAAAGAGTATGACATAAGCAGACTTGAACAAGTTGAAAGAGAATGGGGAAGTAGATGGGTAATGTGACACAAAGACAAGAGGCCCTGTTCAGAACTATGAGGGTGGCAGGGCATTGAGAGTACAGTACAGCATTGGCCATGTCCTCTGTAGAGGCTGGCCGAGATGGTTTGGGTATGAGGAAAGAATGGATGAAACAAATTGGCTCAAGAGGTGCACAAGCCTAAATGTGGAGGAGTCAGCAGAAGGCCAGGAATGACATCGGGAGGTAAGAAACTATAATTAGGAACCTGACAAAAGAGACTGCAAGACACCTGTGGCATGGAAAGGTGCCATCAGGTATCCTTGGCTAACCCACAAATGTGGAAAATGGCTGTAACAACAATGAATCCAGTCCTCATGTGTAAATTTGTACAGTATTTTCAATCTATTCTGCTGTGCAAAAGCTAGAATATAAAATGCTGCAGAATCTAGCAATCAACATCTTTCATTTCAATAAATTTTCCAAGAAAAAGCAGCATGAATCAACTAATTTCCCTCTTTTCACTGAACTGTTAAGAAACAAGATTATAAATATAGTAAAATTGAGCCTGAATCTAGGCTTACAAGAAAGAGTCACATCACTGGTTGTGTGTATCGTGCAAGAAGTTTGAGAGAAGAGGTAAAGGCACAAAATATAATCGTAATTCTGTAGGTGACAGGTGTGGCAAGGCCATGGATTGCATGTTAAAAATCAGACCAAAGTACAAAATTATGCCTTTATGAGAGTCCCTTGGTTCAATACTAACCCGGCAGACAGTGCAGACTCCAGGTGGGAGGGTATCTGTGGCCACGACTATAGTTGGCGAGGACATGACGAACCTGTTGATAAAGAAAATTATTAGCTTGAAAAAAAAGTAAAATTCCATCCTGAATTCTAAGCAGATCAGGCATCTTTTTTAAACCACCTACTAAGTTCAAAACCCTCTAAGATTCAGAAACAAGCCTGAGTGCAAGGTAACTTCATTATCTGCTTAATTGGTCTGGCCTCCATCTTGAGTACGAGGTAAATTCATTATCTGCTTAATCGGTCTAACTCCCGGTAATTGGGTGTAAACATGTTCCACAATAAACCAGATACTGACGAAAAAAAATATTTTCTTAAGGAATATCTATACAGTACTAGGAATTTTCATAAAGACTCCTGTATTTTCTTTACATTCCAGAAACAAAGTACACATTAATGCTCCTGTCAACCTATTGCAGATTCAGGATTTAATTAATTACTTCCTACTGTACTTTTTATTTTCAAAGGGTACGACCACAATACTTTTTCCCAGGGATAAAAATTCAGTTCAAGTTCATTGTGCTGTACAATATTTATACAGATGTAAATGTAACCACCAACATCATGGGCCTTTTCAAGAATGTCTAAGTTTCAGCTTGCAAAATCACTATTTACAGGTTTTATAGTATCTACTGTACTGTATTGTATATTTATACAAATCATTTTAGGGCAAGTGCCATGACCTATGGTTTTACATGTACAGTATTTTCATTTCATGAAAACTGACCCTCAATCTAAACTTTATTTTCTTTAAAATTTTAAATGTTAACAACAATTTTCTCTGTTGCCCTTTCTGTAAAGACTAGAACCATGGTCAAGATAACTATGCAAGGCTTCATGTTCAGGTAACAATCAATGAACAATCAAATTTATCAAACTAAAACCCGAGACAAGATTGGACCAATACAGTACTAGCGAGGTCATCCAAACTGTATCTTGCGCTCGAGACCTCACTTGGATTACGCAATTCAATTCTGGTCACCTTATTACAGAATGGATATAGAATCCTTAGAAAGAATTCAGAGGAGAATGACAAGACTAATCCCAGGCATTAGGAGGCAGGTTAAATTATCTTAATTTGTACTCCTTCGAGAGATGTAGTGTAAGGTGCGATATGATAGAGGTGTATAAATGGAAGTCAGGGCTAAACAAAGGGGACATTACAAAGGTACTTAAACTATCCAACCAGGCGCGAACTCATAACAATGGTTTTAAATTAGACAAATTTAGATCTAGGTGCGAAATAAGTAAACATTGGTTTGGAAATAGAGTAGTGGACGACTGGAACAAGTTACCAATCCTTATCATTAACTTGAATACGCTGGATAGCTTCAAACACAGGTTGGATGGACATAGGAGCAATAAGGGTTGGGTGTAAACGGGACTGCCCAGTATGGGCTAATAGGCCCACTGCAGTTTCCCCCATTTTTATGTTCTTGGGGGTTAGTCTACTTGCCTTAAGGTCAGGATAACAGGTTGTGTATTCACCATAGTGGTTTTATGGGTAGGACAAGAAAATTGTAAGTCTTTAGGCTTTTTTTTTAACTTCAGACCGGATTTTATCATATGTATTAGAGTTTTTGTGCAAGTAAATGAAATTTAGAAGAAGAGGATTTTGTAATCAAGTTATTTACCTTGAGTGAATAAAAAGTTCTTTACTTCAGTTTGTATAAAAGGTTCTTTTCTTCAGTTAGCTAGGGCGGAAAGTTATAATCTAACCTTCAAACTAGTCAAAATTGTCTTAGACGAAATACATCTAGTGAACTCGTGAAAAAGCTGCCAGAGTGTTGTGACGGCACTGAGTCCAAGCGGTTTCAAGACCCGACTTTACCAGCACTGGAGCACGCCAACAGTGAATAAAAGACGTGACCAATCGCCCATGCGACTAACGAGCCAATCACTGGTGAAGTTCAGAAAAAAGTAATTATTCTCCACGTAACACCGTTTATTACATAAACAGGTGTGGTCACATGCCTGTTACATTTGCGATTTGTCTAGTCTTTCACATGAAAACTTTTGTCGTTCTCATTGTTGTCGCCATTTTGGAAATTTATTTACCGGGTATCTATATTTTCATAAGCTATTGCAGGAGATAAATATATGTGTATGAAGTACAAATTCAGGAACCAAGCAGAGTAGGAAACCTATACACTGCGATATTTATGAAGATCTGCTTTGGCTTTGGTGGGGTAAAGAACAACTGGACATAACCAGTCCCCCACGACCAGCCTGAAATTACTTTGTTCAACGTCACTGCACCAACATATACTTCAATTATTAATATGTTTTTCTTCTATAGAACAATAACCCCATCCATGAGAGAGGCGTGTGTAGAGAAAAATTGCTGGGCAATGCGAGGGGGGGGGGGGGAGGAGAGCAAGTGTGGCACCCAGCTGACACCTGGCCTTAGTTACAAATGTGTACACACGACCCCCCCACAATTACTCAGAATAGGCAAACTGTACTCCAATCTTTGTCAATAAATTTGTTAAACTAAAAAACTAAACCACATGCCTCTGCCCCTCTCAATATAAAACGATCACTACTCTCAGCACCATACCCTGCGGCCAGGGGGAGGATCCAGGAATATCAAAAGGAGGGTTCAAGAAGTTGTGGGTGGGGTAACATGGCGAACACAGCTAGTCCACTTATTACCATTACCCTTCCCATCTACCATTATCGGACTTCCCCTACCATACCAAATACCACCACTGTACTTTCCGTATCATCTACCACTATTGTACTTCCCCTTCCACCACCACAAATATTAGGCCTCAGTCACTGGTAGCAGTGATGCAGGAGTTAAGTGAAAGTTACTAAACACGTGACCCGAAACACTCATTTTGAGAGAGATCATGAGCGTCCTTGAGTAGGAGGCAGACCTTGGCATACTGGAGAATGTTAAACGCTGAGTCTCTCTCCCAGGTGGAGGGAACACCTGTAACCGTTGAGGTTGGTACACCTGTATAGGTCATGTGTGAGCCAGCGTTTTGGAGGTGTACTGAACATTGAGACGGTTTTGCAGGCAGGCATACACACCAAAATATTTCCAGTTCAACACCCACCCATTCATCTTATCACACCCACACACACTTCGACAAGAATGAAGTAAATTCCGTTTTGTCATTTCCAATTCAGGTCCGGAAAAAAAATAATTCAATTAATGGGACTATTCAAATTCAATTTATTTAAGATTTATATTGAAAAAAAAACCCTGCTCAGTAACTTACTTTGAAACATCTGTCATGTCACAGTAACACTCGCAGTAACACTATCAGTATGCAGTTTAAAATCGATAGGAGACAGACTTCAATGATAGATTGCACAAGAAGTCTAAGACTCACAGGGAGAGCCAGGCAAGGACACGTTCTGGACGCGTATGTTTTACCCACCGTCTCGCACACTGGACCTGAACTTGTGGGTAGGTGTGAAACTGGTTTCACACAGACATGTTGAACATGCGTACTTTAAAATACACAACTACAGTATTTTATTTTTTAATATCAATTGACACTTTATTCCAATTCATTTTATTTTTTTTCACACACCTTGACACTATCCTTTATCATCACGAGACCAGCAAACCTAATAACAAAACAAAAATAAACATACAAGATTATCTACCACCATATAATTATTATTCCTTCCGTCGGCGATGTACACAGGGTCACATAACGCTTCACTTATCGCCAGTGTAATAAACCTGTTGGATTACTACACATTTCTGGCGATAAACTCGGTCACAAAGCTTCACTAATCGTCAATGTAATAAATGTGTTGGATTACGACACATTTCAAAGAATTTACAGACGTCAATTCAAGGTAAAGAACAGACAACCAAATGACACGTGGGGATATGAGTAATCCTGAAGTAAAGGTGGGGTAAGAATTTCCAGAATTTAATTTCGTCGAATCTCCGTACAGTATCCAGCGTATTCGAGTTAATGATATTTGGTAATTTGTTCCACTCGTCCACCACTCTATTTCCAAACCAATGTTTACCTATTTCACGCCTAAATCTAAATTTGACCAATTTAAAACCATTGTTACTAGTTTGCTCTTGGTTGGTTAGTTTGAGTACCTTTGTAATGTCCCCTTTGTTCAACTCTGACTTCCATTTATACACCTTTATCATATAGCTCCTCACTCTACGTCTCTAGAGGGAGTGCAAATTAAAATGCTTTAACCTGTCTCTGTACTCAAGGTTCCTTATGCCCGGGATTAGCCTGGTCATTCTCCTCTGAATTCTTTCCAAGGATTCTATATCCATTCTGTAATACGGTGACCAGAATTGAACTGCGTAATCCAAGTGAGGACTCACAAGCGCAAGATATAGTTTTAGGATGACATCGCTAGTCTTGTAACTAACACTCCTTTGTATGAACCCAAGTACTTAATCAGCCTTGTTTCGAACAAATACACATTGTTTACTTGGCTTAAGATTCCTATTTACCATTACTCCTAAATTTTTCTTGCAGTCGGATTTCTCAATAACATCGCTGTTCATCTGGTATCTGGTTTCCCTGTTTACATCTCCTATACCGAGTACTTTACATTTGTCCACATTGAATTTCATCTGCCATTTTTCAGACCATTCGAAATTTTTTTTTTTAGATCTTCCTGTAGTTTTGCGGAGTCCTTGTAAGATTTAATTACACGCCCTATTTTAGTGTCATCAGCAAATTTACTTATGTTGCTGTCTACGCCGATATCTATGTCGTTTATGTATATAATAAATAATAATGGTCCAAGTACTGAGCCTTGGGGGAACTCCACTAGTGACGTTGCTCCAACCGGATTTAGTGCAGTTAATGCTCACTCGCTGTTTCCTGTCCTGTAACTACGCCCTAATCCATTTTGGAATATCTCCTTTAATAACATGAGACTCCACTTTTCTTATTAGTCTTTCGTGGGGGACTGTCGAAGGCTTTGCTGAAGTCGAGATATACCACATCATAATTGTGCCCATCGTCCACCGATTCGAAAACAGATGAAAAGAATGTTAATCGATTAGTTAGACATGAACGCCCGCTTG